GTGTCGGCGGAGGACGAGCACACGGACAACTCGCTGTGTGCTCTGACATCCGAGAGGCGTGGGCCATCAACGCGTCAAACGGCCTGCAAATCTACGCGTTTCCCGAGGGATCGAAGGACGAGTCGGCGACGTGTTTGTCAACACGCCGAAAATGTTTCAGAGCGTCATGTCCGTTTGGTGTGCCCGGCCATGCGACCTCGGCTCGGACATGTGGCTAGCCGTCGTCGAGATTCCGAGCAAGCAGCAGAACGCGCCCCTGTTCGGCACGTTGGGCTGGCGAGCGGACTACACGCGACTGAAACGAGGCTGCAGGCCCCGGCCGGGGGGGCGGGCGCCCGTTGCCTTTTCTTCGCGCTGGCCGTTATAGAATTCTTGTTGGCTTCTAAAAATCTGTGTTCGTGCCAGTGCGCGCCAGTCCCGTGCCCAGTGTCGTGCGAGGGAGTTTCGTTGTAAGATTCTAAAAATCTCTCTCTCTCCGTTATAAGAGTACATGTACACGGGTCGGATTGTTGGTACAGTGTACCTAAAAGGTACCCGGGTATCTAGATGCAGTCGTCTTGCAGACAGTCGTACCCGGGAGGGAACTGCTCGTTTGTTCGATTGGTTGATGGTTGGTTTTTAGGGGGAAAGAAAGAACAGGGAGACGTCGACGGCGGCTCCTTGCCTTTCGTAGGAATCCTGCCGGATAGCGCTTTAGCGCGGCCCGGGTTCTTTACAGGTAGTGCGTGAACTTCGAACTTCCGCCCCAGCGGAAGCCAGCACGACAACTTTTTGGAACATGGAAAGTGCCGCGCGCGGCAGAGCCTCTCTGCTCGCCGCTGCGCCTGCCACAGCTTCTGTCGATGACTCACACCCGGCGGCCCTGCGCCGCCCGAGTGTCGAGCGCGCTGCGCCTTGCGCAGCGCCCATGTCAGGCTGGGCCCTTGCCGCCCTGATGCGCTACGCGATTACCGCAACTTTGCTGCTGCTTCACGTGAGGGAACCAGCCAGTTCAGTGAGGAGGAAAGCTCTCATCGCTCATGGTCTCTGCCCTCGCCTCGCGCACTGGCACTCGGAGCCACGCCACACAACGGATCTTTGGCGGCATTGCAATCAATGCGTAAAGGACAGCGCCCAGCTCCATGGCCTGTGCTCTGCCCTGTGGAGGGCCTCTGTGCGACCTGTTATGATGCAAGAGTGATATGAATGTGCTGCAATGCGCCCCCGACCTGAGGGGCTGCGAGTGTGCAAAGGAATGCGGCCACCGTGCGTGGTGTTTCTGCGAGGAGAGCAACCCTCATACTGGCGATTACGCAATGGCGATGGGAGGCGGACCCGAGGACCGCTAGCCACCGTGCCTTGCCACGAGTGAGCTTGTGAGGGACAGCTCGCTCTGTGCCCTGGGACGCGGACCCGAGGACCGCTGGCCACCGTGCCTTGCCACGAGTGCGCTCTTGAAAGAATAGCTCTGCGCATGCGACATGCCAGAGACGTGGGAGACCCGTCGAGGGCTGCACGAGAGCCACCGTGCCGCGCACGAGTGAGCATTGGAACGAATAGCTCTGCGCGTACGACATGCCAGAGACGAATAGCTCTGCGCATATGACATGCGAGAGGCGTTGGAGACCCGTCGAGGGCTGAACGAATACAATCTGACTTTGGAATATTCTCGTTCGCACACGCGACATGCCAGAGACGTGGCAGACCCGTCGAGGGCTGCACGCATACGCGACATGCCAGAGTCGTGGCAGACCCGTCGAGGGCTGCACCAACACGATTATATATATCGAAGCACCCTCTGCACGTACGTGACATGCCAGAGAGGTAGCAAACCCGTCGGGGGGCTGCACGAATACGTTATGTGCTCTGCGCATACACGACATGCCAGAGTCGTGGCAGACCCGTCTAGGGCTGCACGAACACGAGTCTATATATCGAATCATCACCGTTTGCTCTGCGCTCATTACGTGAGATGCCAGAGTCTAGCAGACCCGTCTCGGGGGCTGCACGAATACGTTTATGTGCTCTGCGCATACACTACATGCCAGAGTGTGGCAGACCCGTCGAGGGCTGCGCGCGAACACGATTTAGTCCATCGAATTATGTGCTCTGCGCATTCACGATATATCTGGCTCTCGGTCTTAACTTGCGACTTGCGTGAGAGCCCCTCTCTCTACTCAATGGGCGACAAGCCTCTCACTCAATGGAAGGGGCGCGAGCGGCTCAGAGTACCCTGAAGTGACAGTCGTCACGGGACTCTAGCCTCCGGAGCTCGCGCCTCTTGTCACCCATAGAGCACATCGTGCGAATTATCCGGATGTGGGCTCTCTCATGCCCTGTGATGTACGTACACACGTACCGGTCGTTCGAACCATGTGGAATGAGAGGATCCGCCGATGCCTTCAGAGGGAACGCACGAGAAAAGGAAAGAATGCCGGATAGCGCTTTAGCGCGGCCCGGGTTCTTTACAGGTAGTGCGTGAACTTCGAACTTCCGCCCCAGCGGAAGCCAGCACGACAACTTTACCAAACTTGGAACATGGAAAGTGCCGCGCGCGGCAGAGCCTCTCTGCTCGCCGCTGCGCCTGCCACAGCTTCTGTCGCCACCCGCCCTCCCCTGCGACCGAGGTGGGGGTCGTGGCGTGCAGGACGCCGCGCCTTGTTTGCACTCCGTCCTTCACAGGTCGCCTCTGGCGCCTGTACGGCGCACTAGCCCGTCACGCTATAATCGCTAGGGCGATGCCCGATGATGGTCGAGAGCGTGGCAGGACCACGGCAGCGTCTCCGACGCTAATCTAGAAAGGTCACGCCGCGATGATGGTCGAGAGCGTGGCGCAGCCACGCCAGCGTCCTCGACGCGCTAATCTAGAGAGGTCGGCGACGGCCGACGCCGCGCCTCTTCACACCTCTCTGTTCACAGGTCGCCTCTGGCACCTCTGTTCGGCGCGCTAGCCCGTCACGCCAAGCGCTAGGGCAATGCGCGAGTATGATCGAGAGCGTGGCGCAGCCATGCCAACGTCTCCGACGCTAATCTAGAGAGGTCGGCGCCGGCCGACGCCGCGCCTCTTCACACCTCTCTGTTCACAGGTCGCCTCTGGCACCTGTTCAGCGCACTAGCCCGTCACGCCAAGCGCTAGGGCAATGCGTGATGATGATCGAGAGCGTGGCGCAGCCACGCCAGCGTCCTCGACGCTAATCTAGAGAGGTCGGCGACGGCCGACGCCGCGCCTCTTCACACCTCTCTGTTCACAGGTCGCCTCTGGCGCCTGTTCAGCGCACTAGCCCGTCACGCCAAGCGCTAGGGCAAGGCGCGATGATGATCGAGAGCGTGGCGCAGCCACGCCAACGTCCTCGACGCTAATCTAGAGAGGTCGGCGACGGCCGACGCCGCGCCTCTTCACACCTCTCTGTTCACAGGTCGCCTCTGGCACCTGTTCGGCGCAATAGCCCGTCACGCCAAGCGCTAGGGCAATGCGCGATGATGATCGAGAGCGTGGCGCAGCCACACCAGCGTCCTCGACGCTAATCTAGAGAGGTCGGCTACGGCCGACGCCGCGCCTCTTCACACCTCTCTGTTCACAGGTCGCCTCTGGCACCTGTTCGGCGCACTAGCCCGTCACGCCAAGCGCTAGGGCAATGCGCGATGATGATCGAGAGCGTGGCGCAGCCACGCCAACGTCCTCGACGCTAATCTAGGGAGGTCGGCGACGGCCGACGCCGCGCCTCTTCACACCTCTCTGTTCACAGGTCGCCTCTGGCACCTGTTCGGCGCACTAGCCCGTCACGCCAAGCGCTAGGGCAATGTGCGAGTATGACCGAGAGCGTGGCGCAGCCACGCCAGCGTCCTCGACGCGCTAATCTAGAGAGGTCGGCGACGGCCGACGCCGCGCCTCTTCACACCTCGCTGTTCACAGGTCGCCTCTGGCGCCTGTTCAGCGCACTAGCCCGTCGCGCCAAGCGCTAGGGCAATGTGCGATGAGGATCGAGAGCGTGGCGCAGCCACGCCAGCGTCCTCGACGCGCTAATCCAGAGAGGTCGGCGACGGCCGACGCCGCGCCTCTTCACACCTCTCTGTTCACAGGTCGCCTCTGGCACCTGTTCGGCGCACTAGCCCGTCACGCCAAGCGCTAGGGCAATGTGCGATGATGATCGAGAGCGTGGCGCAGCCACGCCAACGTCTCCGACGCTAATCTAGAGAGGTCGGCGCCGGCCGGTGCCGCGCCTCTTCACACCTCTCTGTTCACAGGTCGCCTCTGGCACCTGTTCGGCGCACTAGCCCGTCACGCCAAGCGCTAGGGCAATGTACGATGATGATCGAGAGCGTGGCGCAGCCACGCCAGCGTCCTCGACGCTAATCTAGAGAGATCGGCGACGGCCGACGCCGCGCCTCTTCACACCTCTCTGTTCACAGGTCGCCTCTGGCATCTGTTCGGCGCGCTAGCCCGTCACGCCAAGCGCTGGGGCAAGTGCGATGATGATCGAGAGCGTGGCGCAGCCACGCCAGCGTCCTCGACGCGCTAATCTAGAGAGGTCGGCGACGGCCGACGCCGCGCCTCTTCACACCTCTCTGTTCACAGGTCGCCTCTGGCACCTGTCGGCGCACTAGCCCGTCACGCCAAGCGCTAGGGCAATGCGCGAGTATGAGCGAGAGCGTGGCACAGCCGCGCCAGCGCCTCCGACGCTAATCTAGAGAGGTTGGCGACGGCCGACGCCGCGCCTCTTCACACCTCTCTGTTCACAGGTCGCCTCTGGCACCTGTTCGGCGCACTAGCCCGTCACGCCAAGCGCTAGGGCAAAGCGCGAGTGTGATCGAGAGCGTGGCACAGCCACGCCAGCGTCCTCGACGCGCTAATCTAGAGAGGTCGGCGACGGCCGACGCCGCGCCTCTTCACACCTCTCTGTTCACAGGTCGCCTCTGGCACCTGTTCGGCGCACTAGCCCGTCACGCCAAGCGCTAGGGCAATGCGCGATGATGATCGAGAGCGTGGCGCAGCCACGCCAGCGTCGACGCGCTAATCTAGAGAGGTCGGCGACGGCCGACGCCGCGCCTCTTCACACCTCTCTTTTCACAGGTCGCCTCTGGCACCTGTTCGGCGCACTAGCCCGTCACGCCAAGCGCTAGGGCAGGGCGCGATGATGATCGAGAGCGTGGCGCAGCCACGCCAGCGTCCTCGACGCGCTAATCCAGAGAGGTCGGCGACGGCCGATGCCGCGCCTCTTCACACCTCTCTGTTCACAGGTCGCCTCTGGCACCTGTTCGGCGCACTAGCCCGTCACGCCAAGCGCTAGGGCAATGCGCGATGATGATCGAGAGCGTGGCGCAGCCACGCCAGCGTCCTCGACGCTAATCTAGAGAGGTCGGCGACGGCCGACGCCGCGCCTCTTCACACCTCTCTGTTCACAGGTCGCCTCTGGCACCTGTTCGGCGCACTAGCCCATCACGCCAAGCGCTAGGGCAATGTGCGAGGATGATCGAGAGCGTGGCGCAGCCACGCCAGCGTCCTCGACGCGCTAATCTAGAGAGGTCGGCGACGGCCGACGCCCTCTTCACACCTCTCTGTTCACAGGTCGCCTCTGGCACCTGTTCGGCGTACGGCCCGTCGCGCCATGTGCTGGGCGAGATCGCGCTCTAGTAATTGCAAGGAAGGGCGAGTGGGGGAAGTGCCGGTAGGAGCCTCCCATCCCTCCATCACGGCACCCTCAGCGTCCCCGCGCACGGTGTGCATGAGGAATAGCACACGTGTGTGGGACTCGTGTCGAGCCAGATGGGAGTGGCCTCGTGGCGAGTGCCCCACGGGCCTTGCTATACGAGTGCTACCCCGGCTCCTACCGGCATAGCCGGAAGGGGCGCGAGCGGCTCAGAGTACCCTGAAGTGACAGTCGTCACGGGACTCTAGCCTCCGGAGCTCGCGCCTCTTGTCACCCATAGAGCACATCGTGCGAATTATCCGGATGTGGGCTCTCTCATGCCCTGTGATGTACGTACACACGTACCGGTCGTTCGAACCATGTGGAATGAGAGGATCCGCCGATGCCTTCAGAGGGAACGCACGAGAAAAGGAAAGAATAAAGGGTGTGGATGCTGGGTTGACGGAAATCGGGGGACGCGACCCACCTCGCCACAGACGGTCCCGCGCCTCGCCGTTAAGACGGCTACACGACCGCGGCTCATGTGCGTGTAGCCGTCTTTGTCCGGAGTGAATACTCCAACGCGCTCGTCGGTGACGGTGTCCCCCGATTTCGCCGCGCTCGGCGAACCTCGACAGCGCCTTCGGTGGCATGCAGCTCTTTGCGACAGAAGCCTGGAGAGCAGCTCCTCTGCTGCTCACACACTCTGCACAGTTGACACAGCCTACTGTGCGGCTGCCACAGCTGTGACAGCGATGGGCTCGCCCTCACTGGCCCTCAGTCACTTGTGCTGCGGCTTGTGTGACTGTGAGCGACACTGCTCGGCGACTGCCGGCACACTGTGAGACCATGGGTGTGAGGTCAAACCACGCTACCAGCGCTTGGTCACATCGGCCCCGAGGTCAGATCCATCTACTCTGTTGATGACAAGACTTGTCTACTCGCTGGAGCCGAGCAGGAGGGCCCGGCGCACCACCCCCTGGTCAACTCACCTCCTGCTCCCCCCCACACCCCACGTAGAGTAGCCGTACGGCAGGTCGGCTCAAAAGACGAAGAATTTTACAACGAAGAAACCCGTCGCTCATATTACTTCCAGCCGCCGGTCCGCGTACCCGAAGCGCGCCTTGTGGTCATCGAAGAGCCGCGTCAGTGCCTCGACGTACAGCGCGTGGTACGCCGTCACCTGCTCGGCGGTCGGCTCGGCGATGCGCGGCAGTTGCAGCGGCGCGCCGACGACGGTGTGGACGGCGACGTCGGCACGCGGGAGGAGCGGGCACCACCACGCTCCGTAGAAGAGGGGCACCACGAAGCCGCACCTGCGCGCGCACTCATGGCTGTAAAGATGGCGCCGGGGTGTGAAGAGCCGCATGGCGACGGCCGAACCTGCGCAGCAGCCACATGCGCAGCCTTTTCCCGGCGCCGACGGAGCGGTAGAGGTCGCACTCGCCAAAGGTGTACGCGAGAAGGAGGAGGTAGCCTACTACTCGCCGCTAAGTCCTGGCGCTGCCGTGTGGGGGCGCGCGACATGGAGCGCCGAAGCGGTGGCATGGGGCGTGGAAGTGGGCCGTGGCGCTCGCTCGCCGGCAAGGCGAAGCGGCACCTGTGTCCCGACCCCGCTAGTTTGGCAGATTTCGCTTCTAGTCCGCTCGTCGCCGTGCTGCAGCGCGTACTTGATGAAGCCCTTCCTCCTCTTGAGGTAGACGCGCTCGCGACCAAACTCGAACAGGGCGACCTCCTCCATCCCGCCCGGCAGGATGCCAAAGTCGGAGCGCTGCCGGAACAAGCCAAACATGCCCTGCGCGCCGTCCGCAGGGGAGGCACCGACGAGGTCACCCGCTGCGGCGCGTCGCGTGAGAGGCCTCGGGAGCGGTGGGCGGCGGTGCGGCGGCGGCGCGGCGGCGGCGCGGGGGCGAGGGCGGGCGGCGGTGGCAGGGCTCGATGCGCCTCCTTGGTGGCGGGCGTGCAGCAGCCGAAGAGGAGCATCATCGGCCGCACGAGCGGCAACCGAAAGAGGAGCGGCGCCTGGAGGAGGGTTCCGAGAGGGTTCCGAGAGGGCTCCGAGAGGGCCCGGGGACTCTTCCAGGCACGAGGGGCGGCAGGGAAGAGGAGCGGCGCCTGGACGCCAGAGATGCGCGCGAGGCGCTCGTCGGAGAGGAGCGAGGTCACCTCGGCCGGCAGGTACAGGTCCGGCCGCTTGGCCTACACCGCAGGGCCGGACGTGTGCGCCGCCTCACTGCCAACCGTTCCGCGCCGCCGTGCCGTCGAAGAATCGCCTTGAATCGGACGGCGCCGTTGAGCGTGAAGCCGAAGCCGACGGACGTGCCATGGGGGTGCATGCACCTGCGGAAGGAGGAGGTGTGATGGCCTCCGCACAGAGAGAGAGGGGTCGGCGGCCAGCGCGAGGCTCGTAACACCACATGCTGCCGTCGTCGGCTTGCATCACGTCCATCACGCGCCTGGAGGAAGGTTGAGAGACGGTTCCGAGAAGATTCCGAGGTGAGTCCAGCGTTACAAGGCCACACGCGCCGCTCGACCCAAAAGGAAACGCCGTGGCGCAGGAAGCCGGCCGCTTGGAGGTAGAGCCGAGCCGCCAGCGCGCTCTCGCGCACAGGCAGCAGGGCGGAGGCAAGAATTACGGCGGCCAGCGCCGCGGCGAGGTGCAGCCTCCCGGACCAAAGGGCGTGAAGAAGCGCGAGAGGGAGGGACGGGCCGACGAGGAGGATCGAGAGCACGCAGATGATTGCGATAGCGCCACGGACCCGGCTTGAGCCACGAAGCGTGTGACCGATGAGGTCCGTGCTGCCCCCAACCACGGCCGCCGAACGCGCCGCTGGAGAGAGAGAGCTGCTGGTGCCAGCCGGAAGCTCGTCGATCTCTATCGTGCGCAGGCGGCGCACTGGACGCGATACGGGAGACATATCAGCTCAGCTTGGCCGGCGGACGAAGGGGTCGAGCGGGCGAGCGGGGCCGATGGGTGTGAGGTGACGATTTTTTTTTTCAGTTCTCGAGGTGGATATCCTTTGGCCGCGTTGGGTAGCGAGGATTGGTGTAACCCGAGCCACGGAGGCGTGTTTTCTGACGGCCGACCGTCAGTGCACGGAGTTGCCACTTCTCCGACTGCCCCGGCTAGTTCCCGAGGCTCGCCGGGTTTCCCCTACGTCACCCAGGACCTAGCGCGGGTGGGTTGGAGGGGGCTCGCCCCGTTCCTCCCAATCGGGCCGCTTTAAGCGGCCACGCCTCGCAGATTCGTTTTCGCGCCTGGGTCAGGCGCGCGGGGCATCCCCCGGGTCGCTCGACCAGCGATCCGAAGAGTGGCCGCTATGCGAAGGAAAGAGTGGGGCCCTCGGGGTACGCCTCGTCCGGCCCCCTCCGAGGGGGGAAGGGAATTGCGGGGTCCCCTCGGGCGCCTCAGTTCGGCCCTCCCGAGGGGGGGAGGGGAGCAAGGGGGTGGGGGGGTCGGGGCGGTGGGGAGGGGTCTCGGATTTCATGTGACTAAGACTTGCCTTTCGGGGAGGGGCCTCGCGCCAAGCGCAATTGAATGCTGCCTGACCTCTTCCCCTCCTCCCTCGAGGCAGCGAGTAGGCAGCGAGAGGAGGTCTCGAGCGCCTATATGAAGGTATGTGAGATGGTGATGGGAATGGGTGGTCGGGCGGGCGGGCGGGGCGGGCGGGCGGGCGGGCGGGCGGGCGGGCGGGCGGGCAAGCGGGGAGAGGCGGGCGGGCGGGGCGGAGCGGGCGGGCGGGGTGATCGGAGAAATCGTAGCCACAATCAGCAGCAGCGGAGCAGCAGCAGCAGCAGCAGCAGCAGCAGCAGCTGCAGCAGCCAGCAGCAGCCTCCACCGTCGAGCCGCGATCGCTGCCGCCCGCGACGCCGCCCGCCGCGTCAGATCGCCGCGACGCGCGCCTCGAGTCGAGTCGGAGAGCCGCGCCGCACCAGCAGCAGCATCAGCACCAGCAGCACCAGCACCACCAGCACCAGCAGCACCAGAGAGAGGCGCAACCTGCCCGACGCCGCCGTGTCAGATGCTCCCGACGCGCGTCTCGAGCCGAGTCGCAGAGCCGCGCCGCGCCAGCAGCAGCATATGCACCAGCAGCAGCAACATCACCACCAGCAGCAGCACCAGAGAGAGACAGTGCAGTGTGACAGCAGCGCAGAAGCGCTCGCAGAGCGGCGCGCAGCGCCGCGCACGCCACGCCGCGGTCGGTCGGACGAGCGCAGCGTACGTCGGCCGCGAGCCGCGTCGCCAGCCGTCTCGCGAGAGAGCGGCGCCGCCGCGTGCGCGCAGCAGCCGCCGCGGCAGAGGCGAGCCGCGGCGACGGCCGCACAACCGATAACTGCCATTGGCGGTTTTTAGGAAAGGGGCTCAACCTTTTTTCAGTGTATGTAGCTCTGACGAACATACCGAAGGTGAACTGCTGAGAGGGTTTGCGATGAGGAGCGATCCGAGCGTGGTATTCGGGTGATTTTTCACACATAGGTAGGTCGGGTTCCGCCCCGGCAGGGCGGATCCTTCGCGAGGTTTGGCAGCCCCTCAGACCCTAGTCGGCAAAGATTTCTTTCGTTGCCCCTCTGGCGGCTTGGCGCCCGACTCTCGAGTACTAGATACGGCGAGCGACGGGTGGTCACCAGAATCGCCCGCCGGCGTGTTCTTATATGCATCGTCGCACCATCTGCACTTCGAGCAGGGCGCTCGAGTACACGGTCAGCCACCTCGTAATGCACAATCCGCCAGCAATGCGCGCTCCGGCGATGCCCAGCGGTGCCACACTTCTGTGCTCCAATGCACCGAGCATCCCGCCCTGGTACTTCCGTGCGCTCTATCGAGAGGTGGGTCGGGCTCACGAATGGACGGACTGGTTGCGCCGCTCGGACGCGGAGCTCGAGTCTTTTGTCACTGCTCCGGGCACGATCCTGACTACGCTCCTGCTCGATGGCGCCCCGCGTGGCTTTTATATGCTGCGATGCGAGCAGGCGAGTGCCGAGCTTCTCTATTTTGGATTGACGCCCGATGCCCTTGGGCGGCAGCTGGGCGGCCCGCTCCTCCGGCATGCCGTGCAAGCCGCGTGGGAGGAGCCGAGGCTGCAAGCGCTGCACGTGAACACAAACACGCTCGATCATCCGAACGCGCTTCCTCTCTACAAGAGCGTGGGATTCAAGGTGGAGCGGGTGGAAAGGTGCTGGCGTGACCCGCAGAGCGAGTCTGAAAAGTAAGCAGCGAGTGACACTCGGGGCATGCCGCATATCTCCGATCCCGATCCGGTGCTGGATATCCCGCTTCTCCACCCCCCTATCCCGGGGATGGCATCCGCGCGAGAGGCCGCCGCGAGTGGCGGTCTGGATAGACATAGCGAGGTGCGTGCTGTGTCAGCTGATGGGGAAAAAGAAACGAGGAAAGAAGCGCGGGGTTCGAGAGACGCACTCGCAATCAATTATCAAACCCGCTCGACTCAACAGCACGCGCAAGACGCCCGGATGGCGCGCAAGAGGTCCGGCACTCCGGTGTACCTGTCGACCGCCCCGCCCCAGCTGACATTGTGCCCGTCGTCGACGCAGGCCTGCACCACGAGCGCGTACCGCACCGCGCCGCCCTCGCCGCGCCCGCCCTCGAGCTCCGCCTCCACCGTCGCCGCAGGGTCGAGCCCGAGCAGCAGCCGCGAGAGCTCCTCGAGCTTGCCGCGCGCGAGGCGCTCGTCCTCGGCGGCGGCGGCGGCGCGCCGCGCGCGGAGCTGCTCGAGCGCCTCGCCTCGCCGCTCGAGCAGGCCGGCCCACGCCTCGTAGTCCCGCGCCGGCCACCCCGCGGCAGCGGGCAGAGGCGTGCCGTCGCCGAGCGCTCCGCCGGGCTGCGGGCAGGGAGGCGCAGCGTCGGCGCGGTCGAGCTCGAGCTCGATTGCGCCCGACTCGGCCTCGTACGCGCACCGCGCCAGCTGCTCGACGTGGCCACGAGGCAGCAGCACCCGGACTGGGCAGGCGCGCCGCAAGTCGAGAGCGAGCACCGCCCGGCGGGCTGCCCGCGCGTCCTCGGCCCAGAGCAGGACGATGCGTGGGCTGCTGCCGCCGTCGGCCGCGTCGTCGCTGCGGCAGGGAGAGCGCCACGCGACCCAGCGCGGCTCTGAAGCACAGCGAGAGCTCTCGGAGAGCTGCATCGCGGCGTGCTCGGCGAGCCACTCGCCCTGCAGCAGCCCGCGCTCGGCTAGGAGGCTGCTCAGGCGGTCCAGCTTGCGCTCGTGGAGGAAGCGGCGCAGCCGAGGCGAGGAGGTGGCTACGTGCACCTTCGACATGGCGCCAAGAGCGATAGCGTGTGCGCTAAGGGCTGCTACGAGGGCACGTCCGTTCACAGCCTTGTTATTGAGAAGAAAATACCTCCTATGGCGCTGTGCGCTGGCCTGTGAGAGGTTGAGGTGCGAGTTCACAGCCTTGTTATTGAGAAGAAAATACCTCCTATGGCGCTGTGCGCTGGCCTGTGAGAGGTTGAGGTGCGAGTTCACAGCCTTGTTATTGAGAAGAAAATACCTTTTTTGCTGGTCTGTGAGAGGTTGAGGTGCGAGCCCTGGAGGCCCTGGGGATGGGGTGAGACTACCCGCGGGCCTAGAAGGCCCGCGCGCAGGGGGGTGGGAGATTGAGACCGGTCATGAATGAGTGCGCGACACGCATTGTTGCGAGCAGCGTTGTTGATGTTTTGCGCGTCGCCACAGACGGCGGCGCGCGAGAGCTGTTGCGAGTGGTGCTGGGCGAAGCCCCGGGCGCTGCCGGAGGCTGTGCCGTAGTCGGTGCGTTCGACGGCGCTCGGGCTGCCGACCTCTTTGGCGAAGTTGAAGATGATTCTCTTGGTCGGCGGCGCAATGCCGCCCCGGCTTTCGACGAGACAAATTTTGACGATTCCGTTCTTGACATGGAGCGCGTCGTAGTACTGTCCCTTGTGCTCTTTGACCCAGCCTTTGCCGGTCGCATGGACGAGCGGGCCCTGTGACTTGTGGCCGCGCTCTTTGCACCCAAGAACCTCGTTCACAGTAGGGTGATAAGAAACAAGAACCTCGTTCACAGTAGGGTGATAAGAAACAAGAACCTCGCATGCGACGACAGTAGGTAGGCGAAGACCAGGTCCGGGATCATAGCCGCAGTGCGTCGCGCGCGTCTCGTCGTTGGGAGCGGTCGTCAAGTAATCTTGCTTGCCGCGAACTTCAGGGTTCCGCATGCCACTGCATGGTGGGTACACTGTGTCAGGGCGCAGGGGCGAGGGAAGCCTGCGAGGTCTCTGTGGGCCACAGAGCCACGATGGCTGACTGAGCGGATCGTCCTCCTCGTCGGCCCCGCCTGGCTCGCGGCGTCCCCTCGGAGCCCCCAAGGTGCAGCCGGTACGTTTGCCCCGCCGAACTCAGGACGTCCGTCTTAGGGGTAAGTTGCTGCGGTAGAAAGTTTTTCTTTTGTCGCCCGAAAGGACAAACGCCCCATGCCCGCTCGCAAGCGCGCGAGAGCCGAGGCTCCTGTGGAGACCGCGACGCTGACCGACCCCGACGAGCACCACCCCACCTTTCGCCAGCTCGCCACGCTGTGGCGCGCCGGGCAGCTCTGCGACGTCACCTTCACTGTCGAGGGACGCTCCTTCTCTGCGCACAAGCTCGTCCTGGCGGCAGCGTCGGCGTACGTGCGCGCTCTCGTCGACGGCCCCCGCTTCGCGGACAGCAGCTCGGACGCCCTTACTCTCGATGAGATGCCCGCCGCGGCCTTCGAGCTGCTCCTGGAGTGGATCTATTCTGGCTCCTGCAACGCGCCGCTCAACTTGCTGCAGCCGCTGCTGCTGGCGGCGGGGCGGCTGCAGGTGCCCGCCCTCGAGATGGCGGCAGCGAATGCTCTCGCCGAGCGGCTCGACGCGACGAACTGTTCCAACCTCTGGGCGTTTGCCGAGCGAGCGGCTCTCGTCGACCTCGCAGCGGCAGCCAAGGCGTTCGCGCTCAACCACTTTCAAGAGATCGCGGGCGACGCGGCGTTCCTCAACTTGCCGCGGGCGCAGCTGGAGGTGCTTCTTTCAAGCGACGACATCGCTCTGAAGGAGGAGCTCGTCTTTGAGAACCTGATGCTCTGGCTGTCGGCCCAACCGGCGGAGGCGCGCGAGCCCGACGAGGTGGCCAAGCTACTCGAGCACATCCGCTTTGCAACGATGGAGCGGGCGTTCATCACCGAGCGCGTGCAGCCGCACGAGCTGATGCAGAGCATGCCCGCCTACAAGGTGCTCGCCGAGGCGCTGGCGGACAGCTGCTTTGGCGCTGGCACGGCGAGGAGCGCGCCGCGAGGCGGCTCGTGCGGCTGGCTGCTTGAGGGACTCGATTGCGGCGACAAAGTGACGGCAGAGGGGCGCGTCCTCACCTTCAAGGTAGACGCGTACCGCCTCGTGCGGCTAGACAAGCTCATCTCCTCGGGCAAGTGGGAGATCGGCTTTGAGCTGGTCGCAGACAATGCTGGCTGTGGCGCTGCCGCCACCGTTTTCGGCCTTGTGGCGCGTGACGGCGGCCCTCCTGTCGACTTCGATCTCAAAGGCACATCGATCACCCTTGGTCTGGACAACACCTTCATGCTGCGCCGCCACCGGCGCCTAGTCTACGCAAACGGGACGAAGGTGGGCGAAGGGGATGGCGACGTAGGCCAGGGGGGGAGCGGAAGCTACGCGCAATTCCCTGTCGGCTCCCGCGCACTTGAGCTGGTGTATTGTTTCGCCCCCGATAAGGCACAACAAAACATAACGCGTGAAGCATGCGATGAACCCATGATACATATATTGTCCCGGTCGCCGGTCGCGATAACACAGTATATGGTACTCCCCGCCGGAGAGTCACTCCCCGGAACGTACTGCTTTCTCGTCTCTCTCTCCCACCTCGCGTCCGCCCACGGTCGCGCGCCTCCGCCCCGCCCACGCCGAGGTCACGTTGGTTGCGCGAACATCGCAACATCCCGATCCAGCAAGCGCGCAAAGTCGACTCGACGCGAAAGTGCGGGTTGTACCTGGTCCGAGGGCGAGAGGCGCCGCGCTTTGCGGCCAAATCGACACGCGCAGAGGGGCGGAGCGGTGGCGGCGGCGGCGGCGGCGGGGGGGGGGGGGGGGGGGGGCCCCCCTTGGGGGGGGGGTCTTTTCCCGCCCCCCCGTCCAGCTGCCACTTGGACAGCACGAGCCGCGGCCTACGAAAGGGCGACACGGGACGCGTCGCGGACGTGGCGCGGCGAGCGCACGCCGCCAGAGGGAGGTGCGAGAGGAGTTGCTTGCTCAGCATGGCGGCGTTGAACCAGAAGGAGAAGAGCTTGTCGTCGTGCATCTGGCCGCTCACGCGGTGGGACACCTCCACCCGCACGTCGGAAGACAGCAGCAGCGGGCACGACTTTGTGTTGACGTCGACCACCGGGACGTCGGGCCGCGTGCCAATCAGCTGCAGGAGGCGACGGGGATGGGGTGGGGCGGGGTGGGGCAGGTGGGGGTGACGACGGGACCTCGAGCAGCCTTGGGGAGCCTCGGGCAGCCTCAGCCAATCTCGGGCCATCTCGGGCCATCTCGGGCCATCTCGGGCCATCTCCGAGACGCCGAGCGGCAGCGTGACGAGGCGCACCCGCACCAGCCGGCAGGCGGCCTGCCGGTCCAGGAGCCGCTCGCACGCGGCGGGCTCGCGGCAGAGGCGCGCGTAGTAGTGCACGTACAGCCGCTGCGACGCGATGGTGACGCCCTCGCAGTTGTTTGTCCTCGCGAAGCCGTAGAAGGCGAGCGCGTCGAGCGAAAGCGCCGCGGAGATCATGGTGCCGGTCCGCCCCTTGCCAGCCTTGCAGTGGACCACGGCGACGTTGTCGGGGTGCTCGTCGTGCCACGCGGCGACGCTCGCGCAAAAGTCGTGCATCATGCGCAGCGGCGGCGGGTTGTGGTCGTCAAACGGAAAGACCTATTAATTAACAACTAATTAATTAATCGATTAGTTAATTAGCGTTCGTGGTCGTCAAACGGAAAGACCTCGACGCGGCCGCGGAACTTTGAGGGGTCGTAGGAGCGCTCCGAGCAGAGGTTGTAGACGCGGTAGTGGCCGTGGTGCCTCGGACATCGGGTTGCGGTACACGCCCTCCGTGCCCTCGGAGGGGAACCCCATCGCGATGACGCGCGGCGTGATGTACGACAGGTCGAGGTTGAACCCGTCCTGGTGATTTTATTATTATTAAAATAATGGGCCGTCGCCACCACCTCCCCGCTCTCCGCTGCGACGTGACATCGCGATATGCGTGTTCGCGTGCGCAGCGGCGCTCAATTAGGTTGGTTGCGTCCGCTGACTAAGCTTGGTTCGCGGTGGCGGGCGCCATGCCGTCTGCACGATGGCAGGTATCGGGCATCGTGCGTCCGCCGTAAAAAGAAAGAAAACAGACAACAAGGGAGGGATGGGAGGACGGCACGCCGCCACCACACAGGGATTTTAAGGAGAGGAGTGTGGTGCTAGCCGTCGCCCACCCTCGGGCGTCTACCACTTCCTATCTCTCATCGCAGTTTCTCACCAATTCTCGCAGCACCTTCATGCCACCTCTCGTTCTTCTCACTCTGCGTCCGCTGTGTACTAAGTAATTTCTTTATTTCGCAGCGGCTGGGGCATACACACTCCCGACAGGTGAGGGGCCCAAGAGGCAGGGGCTACTTCCCAGCTCCCGACGCTGAACTACGACGGTCAGGATGCCCGACCTCGCCCACCTCCGATACATCGTCGAGGACTCGATCGGCAAGCACATGTACGAGAACGCCGTGTTTCTCGCCGACAAGCTCGTCACGATGTCCCGCGGCGCGCCGGACGACGTGTATCTGCTCACGCAGGCCTTCATGTTCACGAGGCAGCACCGGCGGGCGCTGCACGTGCTGCGGCAGCATCGGCTGGCGACGTCGTCGCCGCGCTTCACCTACCTGACCGCCAAGTGCCTCGCCGAGTGCCAAGAGTGGGACGAGTGCCTCGCCACCCTCGACGACACGGTGCTCGAGCACGCGGCGCAGGAGGCGGCGGCGGAGGCGGCGGCGGCGGGCGGCGGCAAGGCGCGGCCGCCGCTGGGCAGCCTGTGCTCGGCGATGCTCCTCCTCAAGGGCACCGTCTACGAGCATCTCGAGAATTGGCCGCTCGCGGCGCGCCACTTCAAGCTGGCGCTGCGCGAGGAGCCGCTGCACTACGAGGCGCTGCAGCGGCTGCTCTCGAACCACATGCTGACGGCGGGCGAGCAGCGCGAGCTCCTCGACGAGCTGCAGGAAAGGCTCGGAGCCGAGGCGCTAACCCTAACCCCAACCCTACCCAAACCCTAACCCTAACCCTAACCCTAACCCTAGGCCACCCCACGCGGAGGCCACCCCACGCACGTCCCCCCACCCCTCCCCATCTCTCCCCACGCCTCCCCACATCTCAGGGCCACGAGTGGCTCCGGCTCTACTACGGCTGCAAGCTCGACCCCGAAAAGGGCCGGCAGCTCGCGGCGCTGCACGCGGCGGCGGGCGCGGCGGAGGAGCCCGCGCCGTTCGGCGGCTCGCGCGCCGCGGCGGAGGAGCCGGCGGCGGCGGAGGGGGAGGCCGAGCTCGGCGCGGGCGGAGGCGGTGCGGGCGGCGGCGGCGGCGGCGGCGGCGAGGTTGGCAGGCGGGCGGGCGGCGCGGCGGAGGAGGCGGAGCGTGCGCTCGCTGCGCTCGGCGCTCCAGCTGAGGGCGGCACGCTGCGGCTCGCGCGCAACGCAGACCTGCTTGTCGCGGCGGCGGAGTACGAGTACGCGCACGGGAGGTACCGGCAGTGCTACGCGCTGACGAGCCAGGCGAGATGTGGGGAGATGTGGGGAGATGTGGGGAGATGTGGGGAGATGTGGGGTCGGGCGACGCCCCGGCCTGCGAGATCTGCGGAGATCTGGGGAGAACTGGGGAGAACTGGGGAGATGTGGGGAGACAGGTGCTCGGCTTGGACCCGTTCGAGCCGTCCGTGCTGCCGGTCCACATCTGCTCCATGGCGTGCCTCGAGCTGCTCTCGGAGCTCTTATCCCTCGATTGGGTTCGGTACTCTGGAGGTACGGTACTAGGCGCGCCTCAAGCTGCTCTCGGAGCTCTTCTCCCTCGATTGGGTTCGGTACTCTGGAGGTACGGTACTAGGCGCGCCTCAAGCTGCTCTCGGAGCTCTTCTCCCTCGATTGGGTTCGGTACTCTGGAGGTACGGTACTAGGCGCGCCTCAAGCTGCTCTCGGAGCTCTTCTCCCTCGATTGGGTTCGGTACTCTGGAGGTACGGTACTAGGCGCGCCTCAAGCTGCTCTCGGAGCTCTTCTCCCTCGATTGGGTTCGGTACTCTGGAGGTACGGTACTAGGCGCGCCTCAAGCTGCTCTCGGAGCTCTTCTCCCTCGATTGGGTTCGGTACTCTGGAGGTACGGTACTAGGCGCGCCTCAAGCTGCTCTCGGAGCTCTTCTCCCTCGATTGGGTTCGGTACTCTGGAGGTACGGTACTAGGCGCGCCTCAAGCTGCTCTCGGAGCTCTTCTCCCTCGATTGGGTTCGGTACTCTGGAGGTACGGTACTAGGCGCGCCTCAAGCTGCACTCGGAGCTCTTCTCCCTCGCGCACGAGCTGGTCGAGGAGTACCCGCAGCAGGTTGGCTAGTACCATACCTCCAGAGTACCGAACCCAGTGTGGGTTCAGTCCGTTGGGTGGTGCGGTAGGCGGTGCCCTGGTTCGCCGTCGGCTCGCCTACCCCTAGAAGCGGAAGACGGACTCTCGCCTCCCAACCAGCGCTCGAGAGGACACGTTCTCCGCCGCATTCACCTGTATTCCGCTGTATTCACTGCCTTCGCACCCCTCGTCTTCACGGCCCTGTTATTGAGAAGTCTTCACGCGGTGCCCGGAGTACGCTGCGCGGTACCGTCTTCCCGCCCCTCATGTCGGCGTGTTGCCAGCGTAGGCTGCTTCTACCACATGGTCTCCGACTTTGAGTCGGCACGCCGCTACTTTTCAAAGGCAACCACCCTCAACCACCGCTTCGCTCCGGCCTGGGTCGGCTTCGGCCACGCGTTTGCGGCGCAGGACGAGTCGGACCAGGCGATCGCCGCCTACCGCACCGCCCACGGGAGCGAACCCACACTGGGTTCGGTACTCTGGAGGTATGGTACTAGGCGATGGCCGCCTACCGCACCGCGTCGCGCCTCTTTCCGGGCTCGCACACTCCGTGGCTCGGCATTTGGCTGGAGTACCATACCTTCATAGTACCGAACCCAGTGTGGGTTCAGTCCCGTGGGAGGTGTGGTAGGCATCGGGATGGAGTACCTGCGCACCAACCACCTGCCGCTCGCGATGCACTACATCAAACAGGCGCACGCCATCTCTCTCCCCCCCCTCTCCCCCCCCCCCTCTCTCCCTCTCTCTCCCTCTCTCCCTCTCTATCTCTCCCTCTCCCTCTCTCTCTCTCTCCCCCTCTCTCTCAACCACCTGCCGCTCGCGATGCACTACATCAAACAGGCGCACGCCATCGCGCCGCACGAGCCCGCCGTACTCCACGAGCTGGGCGTGCTGCACTACGCGAGCGGCGAGTACGCCGAGGCTGCAGACTACTTCACGCGCGTCGCAGAGCACGAGCTGCCTAGACGCGGAAGAGCTCCCCATCTCTCCCCATCTCTCCCCATACCTCGGGCCCTAGACGCGGAGCACGTGTTCATGTCTCCCAACCAGCACGAGAGGACACGTACTCCGCTGTCTTCCCCTGTACTCCTTCTCCGCTGTGTTCACGCGGTGCTCTGAATACGCTGCCACAAGACCGTCTTCTCGCAGGCACGAGGGCGACTCGACTCCTCATATCTCCCCATCTCTCCCCATCTCTCCCCATCTCTCCCCATCTCTCCCCACACCTCCCCACACCTCCCCATATCTCCCCACATCTCCCCACATCTCCCCATATCTCGCAGGCACGAGGGCGACTACGACGACGCCGCACGGGAGCCCTCCATCTTTAACCTCGGCCACGCCTGCCGCAAGATGCGCCGTTTCGACGAGGCCATCGAATGGTGCGCCCCGACCCCACCCCCGCCCCCGCCCCCGCCCCGCCCCCCCGCCGCAGCCGCCGCCGCCGCCGCCGCCGCCCCGCCCCGCCCCCGGCCCGCCCCACCTGCGGCCTGCCACCGCCCCTCCTCCGCGTCCGCGTCCGCCGCAGGTACCGGCTCGCGCTCGCCATCGCGCCGCGCAACGCGTCGACGTACGCCGCGCTCGGCTTCACGCACCACTTGCGAGGCGACCCGGACGGAGCCATCGAGCTGTACCACCAGTCGCTCTCGCTCAAGCCCGACGACACCTTCACCTGCGAGATGCTCAAGGAGGCGCTCAAGGACGTGCTGCAGGCGACCTCCGACCCGCTCTCGCTGCCTCCGATGTCGGCGCCCGGCGGCGCCGCCGCCAGCGCCGTCGGCGTGGGGAGGGGCGCGAGCGTAGTCAAGATGGACGTCTCGGCGGCGCACAGTGTCCTCTGAGGGCGGCGCTGCTAGCCCTCTGCCCAAGTTGGCCGCTGGAGCCACACCCGCCGTGTACGGTGACGGCGCGCTCTCCACACCTCGGAGGTCCGTGGGCCGGCGGCACGTGACTCGCCGGGCTGCGGCTGAGGGGCTGTCCGACACACGGTCACGGTGAGACTGGGAGGTGGGAGCGCGGCGAGAACGCGCTCTAAGGCATGTTGTGCGAGTATATGGGACAAAAGCGTCGAAAATGTCCCAAAAAGCGTGTCTCGAGTTTGTTGCAGCCCCACAGCTGGCGCGCGCTGCCAGGAAGCACCGCTCGCGTGTCGGCGGCACTCCCTGGCACCCAGGGAGTGCCGCGAACCGACCAGACCGAATGGGCTCGACGCCGCGCTCGCTGTGGGGCTGCAACAAAGTCGCCGCCGAGCGTGCCACCGACGGCGTCCGGGCGGCGGTGATGGAGTGTGAGACCTGAGGCTGCGGAGGTGACGCCTGAGGTACCGGCCCGTGCAAAGCGACTCAGCCGGCGACCGCCACGGGCTCAGACGAGACTTGTCGACTCGTTACGGCTCAGCTTCACCGTGGTCATCGGGCGTCTGTCGACGTCAGGACCACCATACAGCTCGCGGGTTTGAGGTCGCAAGAGCCAAGATGGTGGCGTTTGGACATCCCAACCATCACACAAGACAGCCTGTAGGTGATGGCGGGACGGCGCAGTGTTTGTGGCACTCGGCAGTAGGCACCCGCGGCACGGCCCCGCTGAGTTGGCTCTCGCGGGCTGCGGAACCGGCCCCAGAAGGGGACGGTCCGGGCGAGTGTGGCAGCTCCTGCGCTAGTATGGGCACCCTCTATCACAACACTACTGATCCTGGTCATTAGAGCTGCCAGGGATAGCGTCAGGAGCCGGTAGGAGTCAAAACCTCTCATATTGAGACATCGTGTCCCATATACTCGCACAACGAGCCCTAAATACGTGCATAAGAGAAGCACTAAGCGTAAGCCAATTGCAGATGCAGAGAGTGCACCGAGAAATGCGGGCGCGCGTTTTGAGTTGAAGTTGAGCTACGTTCTGAGTCTTATACTTTCCCTAAACACACGCAACTCTGATCTCCAATCATGCTGAATTGCATGTACATCGCCGCCGCGCAGGCCGCGCTCCTCTGTGGCGGGAGCGGCGGCGTGCACACCGCCTCGAGGCGCTGCACCTCTCCCCTCTCGAGAAGGAAAGAGGCGGTGGCGCGGCGCGGTCGTGGGCGGACCGAGTCACTCACGAGAGGGGGGTCAGGCGACCGAACCTAGACTAAGAAGACAACGCCGTGTAGCCGCGCGCCGCTGGCGTTATGCTACCGGCACGCTTTTTTGCGGCAGTCCCGCGCTGCTTTTTGACGAAGGCCTTCATCTTCGTCTCGGCTGGCGTGTCGTCCATCACGTCGATGGCCTGCGTCATGCCCGCGCACGCGATCGCCCAGTAGAGGAAGCCCAGGTACTCGAAGATGACCGAGTACTTGTTTTGCGTCACGCGGCCGCCCGCGTCGCAGTTGAACTTTGTGCACGGGTACAAGTAAAAGTCGACATTGGGGTCCCAGCGGCAGCGCCACCCGCCCGCCCGCTGGTCGGCCCACTGCTGCTGCAGCTGCGGCAGGTCGGCGCCCGTGCACGCGTCCTCCGTCGTGTGCAGGATGCATGTGTCGACCTTCTTCGTGTTTGGCCCCGCGAGGGTGAGAAAGTAGCCCCACGTGATAAAGTAGCACAGCATGAGCCCAAAGGTGATCTCCGCCATGAGGAGGGTGAGGAAGGCCATCTGCCAGGAGAAGTTGCGCGCCCCCGACGCCACGTGAGCCGCGATCGGCCCCGCCGCGCGCAGCTGGTACCCGCAGAAGGTGAGGAAGATCCCGCCCGCGATGCCAATCGTGTGCGGCCCCGACGACATCACCTCGGTGTAGCAGTACTCGTAGTAGTGGTCGGGCTGCATGTGGCAGTTGCCGGCGAGCGAGGGCATGATCCCCGTGAAGGTCGTCAGCGCGAACCCCATCCGCATCAGCCACTCCCCCGAGAGCGACGAGTACCGGTAGCTCGACGTGCCCGACTCGGCCTCGCGCTTGACTCGGTTGCGCGCCATCTCGTCGACGCGCTCAAAGAAGATGTACGCGATGAGGACGAGCATGATGAAGAGCAGCACGTACCCCTCGAACATGACGTTGGCTGTGAAGAAGGAGATGGACGGCGCCGACTCTGCCCACGACGAGCAGCCGAGCGTGCAGTCGATCACCCGCCAGCCGATGACTGCGCCCATCGCAAGGAAGAACGGCGGGATGAGGAAGAACTGGCCAAAGTGGTTGGTCGCGAGGGGGCGCTCGCCGGTGGACGCCTCGCCCAGCCCTGAGCTCAGCCACATCAGGAACAGCAGCAGCGCGCCCATCGCCGAGCCTGCCGCAAGCACGATCGCGGGCTCCGAGTAGTCGTCGTCGGGCGCACACTCGATGTGCGTCGCGTTGCCCACAAAGATGGAGCGGTCCGGGTAGAAGTCATGCGTTGGGTCCCACGAGCTGCCGTGGGACATGGCGACAAGGCGCCCGGGAGGCTGCACCGCCAAGGTGGTAAAATTTGTGAATTTCATGATTTTTTCCTTTTTTGTGTCCTTTGGCACTTGGAGTGGGGCGACAGGGAGAATGTGGCCGGTCTCCGGCACCGTACGCATACTACTCAAAAGGTGGTAAAATGGAGCTTTTGGGTTTTCAGCTGTGAACAGGAGCGAGTTCGCGCTGCGCTAGGCTCAGACGGCGAGTTCGCGCTGCGCTAGGCTCAGTACCGGGCGAGTTCGCGCTGCGCGCTAGGCGTTGTTGACACGTCACGCACACGATGCTTTGCCGTCATGGGTAGGTTTAATTAAAGAGCTGCGTTGGCTCGCCAAAGCTGCGCCGCCTCGCGCGCAAAGTCGCGCGCGGCAGCGTTGACCGCACAGCCTACTCGCCCAAGTACTCGCTCTCTTTTATGTCCCACCATGCAGAGCGCATCTCTCTCTCTGTTGTGCGAGGCGTGAACCACCCTCCGGATGCTCCTCCCCTTTGCTCCAGGTGTATTCTTTTTTTGCGGGGCGGACTACCCACGGTTAGACGCCGTCGCCAACTGTCATGTCGGTAGCCGCTCTGCAAGCTCGCTGCTGGAGCGCGGTTGATCGCATCGCGGCGCCGACGCCGCGGCGGCGCCATCTCGCGCGGCGAGAGACGGCGCTGCATCGGCGCCAAAACAAACGGGAGGTCGCGGCGCGGCCGCGGCAGCAAAAACATCGACGTTCGCTTCTGCTTCTCGTCTCGTCTCGTCTTGTCGCAGGCGCACACGCGCGCGATCCGCGTCGCTCCGCGAGGACACGACCACCGGGATTCGAACCGGCAGCATAAGAGCGCCGGCTCGAACGCCGGCCGATCGTGCAACGGAGTCATGCAGGTCTTGTGCGCTCTGCAAAACCGGCTCGTGAATATATGACTGGTTTTGTCCGCGGGCGCGAGGACACTGCGGAGGCGGGCGGCGGCGGCGGAGGCGGCTGCAGCAGCACACGGGCTGGCGGCGGCGCGCGGACGGTGGCGGCGGCGCGCGGACGGCGGCGGCGACGCGGCGGCACTGCTCCTCTGCTGCTGATGATGACAATGATGCTGCTCCTGCTGCCCCTCCCGCCCGCCAGCTGCCCGCACGCTCGGTGGGATCTCTTCACCTTCACACTGGTCGAGTCATAGGTGCAGCGCGATCGGCGCTGAGGCCTGAGCTGCTGATGGAGTATAGTGGAAGTGGGTGGTATAATTACTTGTGTGTTAATGATTAATTATTAATAGTCTGTATTCCAGAATTCCGTTGGGGGGAGGTATTCAGTCGGGGGCATTAATAATCGTCGGGCGGGGGCGCGGCGCGGCGGCGGGCGGGGCGGAGCGGGGCGGCGCGACCATCTGTACTGACGGGGCCTCTGGTCTTTGATGCAGCGCAATGGTCGAGCCGCCCTCGACTCAAGCGGGGCTGCCTTCCACACGCCGCTGCTCAGGCCGGGGGAGGGGGGGGGAGACCTCCTGTTCCTCGCGGAACGGGAGCAGGCCCCTCCTTGCCCGGTCTGCAATGCAGGGCGGTGGTCGTGCCATCTTCGCGTCGTACTCGAAACTACCACGCCGCAACCGTCGCTGGCGCGCGACACGTTCCCGTAGGCCGGACTGTCCTCGTCGAGAGTGTGTGCCGCCAAGGCGGGACACACTCAGGGGCACAGTGCCGACGGGACGCGGCAAGATGGCGAGGACGGCGGCTGGGTTTACAAACCTGGTCTCCCCGCGTTTCAGAACTGGCTCATCTGGATGCACGACATATATGTTCCTTTTGGCTCACATAATCATCTAGAAAGTGATCGAAGGCAACTGCAGGAGTCCCTGGAGTGGACGGACGACAGCGCAACAGTCGAGAAGACGTTTGTGTTCATCAATGAACACCTCTCCGTTGCAGATGAGCTCCACCCTATCAAATGCGTAGACAACATGGATCCTTTTGACAAAATCACCCCCTCGTCAGGCTCCGGGATGGTGTTCACAAACGGCATCCTGGACGTCTACACGGGTAAGGTCCGCGGGTTCGAGGTGCACGACTTTGTCACAGAGCGTCCTGGACGTCTTGCAGCCCACCGATGCTGAGTGGCAGGAAATATCCAGCGGTCACCTTCCTCCCCTGTATGGGTGCCGGTGTATCGCAATCTCACTGCGCCTCGAACAACTGCGCCGCGTCCCCTGCTCCCCACACAAATGGCGCAAGACTGTTGGGCTGGGGTGCGGGGGGGCGAGAGCTACCTCGAGCAGATGCTAGTTACCTGAGTGTCGGACATCGGTGCTAGTTACCTGAGTGTCGGACAGCGGTGCTAGTTTACCTGAGTGTCGGACTAAAAAAAGCAGTCGAGAGACGGGCGCAGACAGCCGGCGCTGCCAGGGTCGACCAAACCAGGTGCGCGCCGTGCGCCTCACTGCCGGTGGCTGGCCACCTCCCTCTGCCTCTCCCCGTCGCTTACGTCCGCCCCGCGCCGTCAGCTGAGCGAACATAACATAACGCACAACTAAGAGAATAACATAACGCATGACCGAGAACATAACGCATAACTGAGAGGACATAACATGCTGAGAGAACTATCCGCCGGAGGGGCTCTTGCGCGAGGGGCTCTTGCGAGGGGCACTAAAGTGCGAACCTCCGCGACCCTACTCACTCAGCACGGAGAAGATAGATGCTCATTCCCATTGCAACTAAGAAACTAATGTATCCTATGCAGCAACTGTCAAACCATAGAGCAAGCAAAAACGTTCCAAAAACAACTGAAAGCAGCGCGGCAGCCTCCTTCTTGACGTAACTTTCTCCCCCAAAGAAGACGTTGCGATCAAGGAACTTCTGATATCCGCCCATGCTGTGGTGCGACGTGCATTTGAGTACACTCATGCGATTGCCGCAGCTGCCAGAGGTAACGCCATATTTGCCCTGCTCAAGGATTGTCAAGCGCGACTGAGCAGAGAAGTGCACGTCTGGCCAGGTGATGGAATGGTGCTGATTCACGTGACTGTCAGCGATGCACCACCCTTCGATGCAGTTTGGTGTTGCCAGCTCGCACTGGCACGCATATGCCATTTCTGCGGCGGCCAGGATCAAACTAATGACGACGCGAGCTCCCATGGAGCGTTGGAGCGGCGCAGTCGGGGCCTCGGTGGACATGTGGGTAAGCACCTGAGGCGATGTGCGAGCGCGAGGAGTGGATAGGGTGCGAGGCGGGGCCGAGGCGTGCCGCGCGCGATCCCAGAGCGCCGTGCTATGGGCCTCTCTCACGGCGGCGAGGCGGGCGTCGCAATAAACAGGAGAGTGCTTCCTTGGTTGCGCCGGCGCTCGGGTTCCTTCGGTTACCCGACTCTTTCGTCATATGAAAGGGCGCGCGGTTCCCTTCGGCCCAAACACGAGCACACAAGGACACATAAGTACGACGTTTCTTTCCTATAGATGGGGTTTGCCGCGGTGTGGTTTCGCGCTCTCTGCGTTTTTTGTATACATGTTTGGCTGTGTGGGAGAGCGAGCGCTCTACCCTCTAGCCTCGGCGCTCAATCACGATCCTCTCCCTCATCGCGTGCACGGCCGCCTGCTCAAAGGTGGGAAGCTCCTGCAGGCAGCGCGCGCACGCGGCGGCCAGGCCCCACGCAAAGGCGGACGCCGCAGCGTCGAGGTCGAGCGGCCCCGCCTCGCGCGCCACGGCCGCATGGTACAGGAAGATGCTGGTGCAGACGTCGCCCGCGCCGATGGCGTTGACGCAGCGGATCTCTGGCACGCGCAGCGAGGCGGAGCCGCCGCCCGCGAGGAAGATGAGCGCGGGACGCGGGCCGTCGGTCACGGCCAGCACGCATCCCGGCCGGGTGAGGACGGTGGCGAAGAGCTCGGCGGCGGCGGCGTCGGCGTCGCTCCTCTCTGTCAGCGCGAGGAGCTCGTCGAGGTTGAGCTTGAGGATGTCGAGACGGCGCGAGGCGAGGACCCTCTCGACGCCCTTGAAGCCGTCGAGCAGCAGCAGCGGGTCCGCGCCGTCCGCTCGCGCGAGGAGGAGGGAGCAGACGCGCTCGTACAGCTCTCCCGCGCCGGGCGGCGTGGTGCCGCAGAGCGCAAACGCGTCGTAGTTTTGCGCCGCCTGGTCGAGGGCGGCGAGCAGAGAGGCGAGCTCGGCCTCCGATACCGCTCCGGAGGGCTCGATCAGCTCGGTCGGAGCGCCCTTGTTGGCCTCGTCGAGCAGCGTCGTGCACGTCCGGGTCGCAGCGCCCACGCGAGTGGTGAGCGTGGCCAGGCCGGCCGCTTTCAGCTCGGCGTCCACAAAGTCGCCGGAGCCGCCGCCGAGGAATTGAGCCACGCCGGTCGTCGCGCCGCTGCCTCCCGCCCAGCGGTGGAGCGCCAGGGCGGCGCCCTGACCCTTGCCGCCCACGTACGTGTCGCACGACGCGGCACGGTTCACGCCGCCGAGCTCGACGTTGCTCGGGAAGGAGAGCACCTTTTGGAGCGCCGGGTTCGGGCCGACGCAGAGCACGCGAACCGCGGCGTGGAGAGGCATTGGTCCTGGGTTCCGGCTCCTAGCCAGATAGGGGGTCTGTTGCGCCGTGTAGCTGGTGTGAGGGGAGCGCTCGGTAAGCGGGTCATGCTCGCGTGGCGCGCAGTCACCGCCGCGCGGCTGGAAACTAAACTAAACTAGGAGTCGGACTCAAGGTCGAAGGTCGCCCCGCAGCAAGTGTCTTAGGAGATCACGTCTGCTTCTTCAAGTTCGTAACACGTACACGCTCACGTCCGTCTCCCAGTCGGGGCGCATCGCGCCGGTGAGGCGGCGCTCGTGCCGCTCGACGCAGCACAAGCCCGCTCCCTCGGCGAGGGCGGGCAGCGCCCGGACAGGGTCCCACGCCGCGACCGGCCCGAGGCGGTCGCGGGGCTCGCTCGCGACGATGAACTGCGCGGGAGGCTCCGCGCGAGGATCGAGCAGCGCCGCGGCGGTGTGCACCAGCGCCTCCACCTGCAAGGGTCAAGTGCCGCGGCCCATCCTCTCTCTCTCTCGCCTCTCTCCCTCTCTCCCTCCCTCTCTCTCCTCGCCTCTCTCTCGCCAAACCCTGGGAGGGCGGCGGCGGCGTGCTCGCGCGGCGGCGTGCTCGCCTGCCTCGCCGTCGCGGGCGAGAGGCCCCGCCGCGAGCAGGCGGCGGGCGGCTCGGCGGAGAAGATCACGTCCGCCGCCACCACCAGGTCGAACGAGCCGAGCTCCTGCAAAGGGCGAAGTGGTGCGTGCAATCGCCGGCGTAGAGCCGACGCCCCGACTCGCCTCGTCCACGCGCGCTGCTAGTCCGAACCCCGCTCCCTCCGCTGCTAGTCTCACCCACCTGATCCAGCGGCTCGCCCCAGCGCAGCGCCACCGCCTCGGCCGCAAAGGGCTCGGCCACGGCGGCTGCTTGGTCTGCCTCTGCTGGGTCGGCTCGATTCGCCGCCAGGTTGGCGGAGAGCAGCGGCAGCACGGACGGGTCGCCGTCCGTGGCTACGAGCCTCGCGGGCGGCGGGCGAAGCCGCTGCAGCAGGCAGCTCAGCAGGCCGAGGCCAGATCCGAGCTCGCAAACCCTCCTCCCCGAGACGAGCGTGTGGCGGCGCGGCAGAAGCCGCGACAGCAGCGTGTACGTGCACGGAAGGTAAAGGCTCGTCCCTGTTTCGAGCGGCAGGAAGCCGCCGCCGCCGCCGCCGCCGCCGCCGCCGCCACCGCTGTCACCACCACCACCGCTGTCATAGCGGCCGTCGCTTTTCACTGATTTTTGCCGCGGCACCCAGCGAGGCTGGAGCAGGGCCGCCTCGACCACTTGCACCGTCTCGTCGTTCTGCTCCACGCGGAAGAGGCCGAGTACGCTCGGGTGCGACATGGCGCAAGCGCTGCGTGTGAGAGCCTGCACGGCTGCAGCGGCGCGGCAGTCCTGCGACAGCTCGAGCGATGGCTGCGCCGTGGCAGACGGTTTCCATGGCAGCATCAGAGTCGGGTGGACCAAGTGAGGGAGACGCTCGCGCTGAGCCACCAACGCCGCTGGTCCAGGCTCGGGAGCGAGGAATTCATCGACGAAGGAGGACAACGCCGTCTCGTCATCATCGAGCATTCGGGTTGCGGAAGAGCTTGAAGGGGTGTGTGTTTTTGAACGATTCTCTCCTCAGCGGCTCCTTGAAGGGGTGTGTGTTTTCGAAAGAGAAAGGGGTGTGTGTAAACAATCAACTTCCTTTGTTTAGCAAAACAAGGAGCCGAGCCCCAGTCGCCCTTTTTTGACCCGCTCTCCTTCATAATGACGAACATACACACACACCCCAACACACACACCCCTCAAAGGCTGGCCCTGCAGGGCCAGCCCCCCTAGGGGGGCTGCGGCCTCGATTCTGGCCTCCAAATCCGCGACGGAGGACCGAGCGGCGAGTTCCAGCATGCATGGAGGCCTCCGGATCACAGGCTGCCCGAGACACCGAGAGTGGTCGCGCGGCGCGCAAAGAGCTCGGGCGAGGATGCTGGGATGCGCCACGGAAACCCGCGCGAACGGGAAAAAGGAACGGCAGCGGCGTCTTTGCTCGGCGACGCCTGAGCTCCTTCCTGTCGGCGCGACGGCTGATGCAGGTACGTCGCGACCCTACTGTCTGTGGCTCGGCGATGCGGGCTCCACGGCCGTGCCGCGTCCGTCGGTGCCGCGTGCCCAATGAGGGACAGGCTGCCCTGCAGAGCTCACGAGCTCCTCACGCGGCGAGCCCAAGGCGAATTCGGCGCGACCTCATCAACTCGAATGAACGTTTAATCGGCGGCGCTATTTATATCGGGCGCACACTCTCAACAAGGTTCTTTTTCGAACCTTACTAAACAAGAGTACGCATTCGCTTCTCTTGTGAACACACTGCCATCAACACTACTGAACGCTACCCCAACCTGCTACTAAAAGACTCCCTCCCTCTGCGTGGAGAGAGAGAGATTTTGTTTGTTCTGCGTGGTGGCGCTCAACCTTGTACGTACTTTTTCTCTCTCTCCACCTTGTACTCTCTCTCCAGGTATAATGTAAGGGGTGGTGCGGCCGTGCCGGCCGCCCTCGCAAAGTCAAGAGTGGCAGGGCTTCACGGCCACATTCACAGCCCGATCTGAAGTTTAACAGATCGGGCTGCGTCGTGTTACACCCGACACGCACCGCGCGGTGCGTGTTTGAAGTCTCATCAACGATGCCGTCTCCCATCACGCAGGGCCAGTGCCCACCAGCATCGGCGCCCGCTGCCCGCTCCCCTCACCAACCATTCCCTCAAAAAAACAGCGACTGACTGGCCTCCGCGGCGTGAGCAAGTGGCTTGCAGACGCCAGCGTGCAACTGGTTGAAGACGCCAGTGTGCAACTCACGCACGTAATCACGTACACCGTTGCCGGCGTGACGTTCCAGGCGGCAACCGCCGACCGCGAGACGGGCACGAAAGAAGTCCCCCAGCTTGAGCGCTACGACTACTCCGTTCTTTGTCGGCCCTTTGGGCCTGGGCGCGCGATCTTCAGTAGTGCCGTCCGCGTCACCGTTTTTGGTGACGTGTGGATGTGGCTCCTGACTCTTTTTCATGCAGCGATTGCGCTGATCCTCTTCTTCTGTGTCACCGACAAGGAACGTGCTATATCCTGGGCCGACTGCCGTCTAAGTCGCAGGTTGTGTGGGCGTGGATCGCAGGCACATTCTGACTGCTGTGCACGCCGACTCCACTTAGACGAGTACTGCTCCACCTAAGACTGTGTCATGATTCACTTCAACTTGCAGGCTTGTGGCAAGAGATGGCAGACACGCCCCACACGAAGATCACGCCGCAGGACAAGACGTTCGTGCTGCAAAAGTGCGTCGATGCCCGCGGCGCTATCGGCGCAGCCTTTGCGTACACCGACACGCAGCAGCCGTTTGCATACGTACACATGCTTGCCGCGTTTGCGGAGCTCCTCTGAGGCGGAGCCGAAGCCGCCACGCACCTGGTTGGTCATTGGGGGTCGGGGTCAGAGTCGCCGTCGGTCAGGGCAGGCGAGGGGTGGGGTGAGGGCGAGGGTCGGGGTGAGGGTGAGGGCGGGGGTGAGGCTGGCTAGGTAGGCGGGCGATGTGCGTTAGCTAGGGTTGGGCGAGGGCCAGGGTTGGGGCCGTCTTGATTTTTATATTACCCAAAAGCTAGGCTACTAGCCCGCCACTCCCAGCTGCTCGGTGTGAACAGAGTTCGTATGCTATGCTATTGCTCCGCAACTCGAGATCCCTCGAGAGTTCACGCGGAGTCGGCTGGGGCTATACCAGACAGGGGTTGGGGCGAGCGGCCGGGCTACGATTGGGCTTAGGGTTGGGGATAGGGAAAGGTTGGGGCGAGGGCCAGGGTTGGTTAGCTTGGGGCGCACGATCGACGCCGCTAAAAAGAAAGAAAGAAAACACACAACCCAAGGGAGGGATGGGAGAACGGCACGCCGCCACCACACAGGGATTTTAAGGAGAGGAGTGTGGTGCGCTAGCCGTCGCCCACCCTGGGGAGTCTGCCTCTTCGTATCTCTTTTCGCAGTCTCTCGCCGCTTCTCGCTGCAACCTTCATGCCACCTCGCGGCCGTCCCACTCTCGTCGGTCTCTCCCTTGTCACTTCCTCCTCTGTCGCGTCGTTCTCTTCTGCCTCGTCCTGCGACGCCGCCGCCTGCCGATCCCTTGTTCTCGCGGCTTCTTTCGCCTTGCGCAACTCCATCCTCCTCGCGGCGTATCCTGGCCCCTCGAGTCTATCAAGCTCCCCTCGCGCAAGGACCACATTTCTGACTCCCACTCCGATCATTTGCCTACACGTCATGTTGTTGCTCAGGTCCACTCTCTCTTTGAACACTTGTGCCTCTACGGATGATGCCGGCGCTGGGGTCCCCTTCGGATGCATCGTGACATCTGACAACTGAATTTCCACTGGTTCGTCCTCCTCTGAGTCATCTTCCCCGTCCTCCTTCCGCTCGGCCCTTCGCTCGGTACGTTCGGTGCCGCTCGCGGTGTTGTGTAGATGGAAAATTCTTTACCTGTGTTCGTGCCAGTGCGCGCCAGTCCCGTGCCCAGTGTTGTGCGAGGGAGTTTTGTTGTAAGATTCTTTTTGCGCAAATTTTGCGAGCGCCACCATGCAGCTCGCCTGGCAGCTAGTAGCGCTCGTCGCCGCTGCTGGTGGCGTCCGCCTTCAGCGCGTGGCATTGAAGCCACCGCCGCACGCGTCGAGCAGGGGCACGCTGCGGCGCCCGCGGCCGGCACTCCTGCTGCGCCTGCGCGGAGGCGCGGAGGACGGCGCGAGCGACCCGAGCAGAGCGGTGGCGGCTTCGGAGGCGGAGGAGGCGCCACTGTCGCCGCTGCCCGACGCGGACGTGCCGCTCCCGACGCCGGCGGCGGCTGCCGCCACCGCTGCTGCAGAGGCGCCGCCGGCCGCCACCGGTTGCTGGGCCGTGCTGGGCAGGGTGTGGCGGCTGCTGCTCTCGCTGCTCTCGCCGTCGCACGAGTACGCCAAGCAGGACCACTCTGACCTGCTTGGCGACGCCACGCAGACGGCCGGCTTTGCGCCCGACGACGAGTCGTGGAGGACGCAGCGCAAGCGGCTGCACCAGGCGACAACGCCCCAGCCGCCGCCCCAGCCGCCGCCCCAGCCGCGGGCGCGGGGGATGAGGAACCCCCTCTCACAGCACTGAGCCTCGCCCGCCACGGGCTGAGCCGCGCCGAGGAAAGAACTGGTGTTCGAATCCGACCCCGCGCCGCCGCGAAAGCACACACGCACACACACACACACACACGCGCGCGCGCCGCGCGCGCGCGCCTCCGCCACTCGCGGTTCCGACGCAGGTGGAGCTGCCGCCGCCGGCGAGGAAGCGCGTGCTGCGTGACCTCCGGCGCCTCAAGGCGTCGGTAGACCTCGGCGCGCGCCCCCGCCCCCGCCCCCTGTCCCGAGGACCCGCACGCGCAGACCGCCCGCGGCCGTCGCCCTCGGCCGCCGCCCCCGCCCCCTGCCCGAGGGCACGCCCGGCGCGGGCCGTCTCCAGCCGGCCGCTCGGCCGCAGGCCTCTTCGTCGACGACGCCGAGTGCCTCACCGACTGGGTCGTCCGCGTCACCGGCGCAAACAAGACCATCTACGCGGGCGAAATCTACCGGCTGCGCGTGCGCTTCTCGCCAGAGTACCCGCTGAGGCCGCCTGAGGTGCGCTTCCTGCGGCCGGCGCCCGTGCACGAGCACATCTACTCGGACGGCAAGATCTGCCTCAACATCCTCTACGGCGACTGGACGCCCGAGATGGACGTCCAGTCGATGTGCCTCTCGCTCGTCTCGATGCTCTCGTCGGCGACCAAGAAGAGCCGGCCGCCAGACAACAACCAGACAGTGGTGCTCACGCAGGGCCAGCAGGCTGGGTCGATGCAGTGGGACTTCCACGACGACAACTGCTGACCCGAGCTGCTGACCCGCGGCGCAGACCGGCGGCGGGGTGGGCAACCCTGCACAGCCTTCGCCGTGCGTGTCCCGAAACTGTCACAGTTTGACACACCCACAACGCAAGCCCCACGACGCTCTCTGCTGCGCAGAACCTAAGGTGCCCGTTTTGGAGCGGGAGGCGCGCAGCAGGATAAGTAAAATTTGCGAACTTGCTGTCTAAATGTCGAACGACACGCAACCGCGCGCGCACGCATAGAAGGATAGAACGCACGTCTCGGTAGACGGTACTCGGACATCTCGGTTCTCGCGCCGGGGCCACCGGCCACAACAGAGCTCGGCGTTCTATCTACATGCCGCAGTCACGGCGCGAGGGTTTGGGTTGCCTCCCCGGGTGGACTGCTCGCACACGCTCAGCTCTCCCAGAGCATGAGCGGCGACGTACGCTGAAGCAGCCAACGCTGGGGAGTAGTGGACAAAGAGACTCGGGGATGCTGCCGTCGTGGGGGCGGAGGACTATTCGCACTGCTCTGCAGCCGCGGGCTTGGCCTCGGCAGTGGCGCGCTTGGCAGCGGCCTTCGTTTTCGTGCTTGCCCGCATCTCGCGTGGCGATGGAAGCGTCTCCGCGGAAAGGCTGCAGCGGAGAGGGCGGGAGGAGATCGTGAGTTGTGCAATGGCCAATCAATATGGTGCGGCATGCCTGCAGTGCAATGCTGCGTGCAGCTGCAGGGTGCGCGCACCGGCGAGTCGGATACTTGGTCGAGGCTGCGGAGGTGATGAACTTGGCCACCTTCTCACGAACCCACATTGCAGCGGCGCAGCCGGGACGCTTGACGCGGACCTTGTGCTTTTGCAGCCGCGCTCGGATTTTTACGTGCTTGGAAGCGACCTGCTTTCGTGGTGGGCGGCGGCTCGGCCGCGGTGCCCGTGGTCGTGTGCGAAGTTTTTTGTTTTTGCTGATGATTTTCTCCTTTATGTCTGTAATCGTACGTTGCATCCGATGGCGCAGCACCGCAGCACCAGAGCACGCAGCAGGGCCAGCGCGCAGCGGGGGGGGGGGGGGGTATAGACATAGAGAGCAAACTGGGCCCCACACCAAGACATAGTAGTACAAGCAACCTTAGTTCCCAGATCGGACCCCTATATCCACGCCCACGACTGGCGACAGGAGAGAGACACTCAACGCTCCGTTGCTCGTGCCCTCTGAGCATGCGCCATGCCGTCACGCCACATGCACCAGAAACCACCTCTCCACCGGCGCGCGGCAGATGGGGCACTTGTCCATCTTGACCGAGCACAGGCCGCAAGCACACACGTGGCCGCACGGCGTCGCTATGTGGGATTTGGGGTTGGTGAAGCAGACAATGCACGTGGTCTGACCTCCGACGGTCGACTCGGGGACTGCCGGGCGCCCCGTGCTGATGTTGGCGTCGGCCAGCGAGATGATTGATGGCCCACCTGGCGTGGCGGCTCCGCCCACCGGACCCCCTTCCTCCGGCCTCGCGCTCTCCTCGAGCGCCTTTGCCTCCTCAGCCGCTGGCTCCTCGGACTCCTGCGGCGGCCCGGCCGTGCCACCCCCGCCGCCTTTGGTTCTTCTAGCCTTGGCCTTCTTGTTCTGGCCCTTCCTGCTCGCCTTGGCACGCTCCGCCGTCTTCCTATCCTCCTCGAGCTCCGCCAGCAACGCCTCCGCTCGCCGCGCCGCCTCCGCCTCATTCGCTGCCATCGCCGCCGTTCGGCGCGCATGGCCTCTCGCCGCCACCGCCGCCGCCCGCAGCTTCAGCAATCGCCGATACATACATCGATCGAGCTCGAAGTAAACCACCATTTCCACCAGTAGCAGCATCGCGAAGGCCTCAACCAAAAAGCTGGGATCGCTCAAGTTTTCACGAGCGGCCCAAACCAAGAAGTGGAAGAAGCGCACGGGATCGTTGAAGGCTTCACGAGCGTACAACAGCAGTTTGCTCTCATCGCACGTGTCGCACGTGCGCGCGCAGTAGGTGTTCATGTAGATCGGTCGTTCCTCGCACACGCCAGCGGCGGCCCAAGCTGCGCACGCCCCCGACTGGTCGCGGTCAGAGCAGCCGGGCGGCGGCGGCGGCGGCTCTTGCCTGGCGAGCGGTGGGTCACTGCTGAGCTGCTCAAGGTATATGTCCACATCAATGATGCTGCCACCGAACCGCATTCGGAGTCCCTTGCGAAAGTGGGTTCTCAACGAGGCGGGTCCCACCACCTGACCTCGCTCTCCGCGCAGCAGGGTGGAGCCGTCGTCGCGGGTCGTATCCGGCCCGGTGTAGTAGAACTTGAGGCCGCAGATGCTGCACGCCCTCGCGCAATTCTTCATCATGTAATCTTTGTTGGAGGTGCATTCTCCGCGGTCGGCCCAGGAGACGCAGCTCTCGTGGAGGTTAATGCACATATCACTGGCATGTCGCACTTCCAACAAGGCCTTCGCGTCGTGCGAAGGAAGCCCGCACACGTCACACGCACGTGCGCAAGACTTGAGCATGTAGCCTTCGTTCGCAACGCACTCACCTTGTGCTGCCCAAGCAACGCATTCCTCGCTATGGTCGGTGCACGCCGCCGCCAAGACCCCCGGCAGCGCCGGCGGCGGTGGCTGTGAAAGCAGCTGAGGCGACTCTGCGGAGAGGACAGTGGTGGTTGCGGCAGCGGCGGCGTTTGCGGCGGGAAGCGGCGGCGGCGGCGGCGGCGGCGGCGGCGGCGGCGGCGGGTGTGGTGGCGACAGAGGCATTCCCTCGCTCTGGTCGATGCACGCCGCGTCATGCAGCGGCTGCGGCGGCTGAAACTCAAACTGCGGCTGCGGCGGCGACTGCGGGGGCAGCGAGTACGGCGACGGCGGCGGGGGTGGCAGTGGCGGCGAAGGTGGCGGAGGGAGTGGTGGTGGCAGCGCTGGCAATGGTGGCGGCGACGGCAGCGGTGGTGGCAGCGGATGGGGGCTGCGCTCACTCTGAGCGGCGCGCGCCGCCTCGCCTTGCACAGCAGCGGGTGGAAAGACGCCGCCGATGGCAACGCGGCAAAGAAGCAGCAGCATATACACGCGCACAACAACCGGGGAGGGGGGGGGGGGGCGCAGGAACCAGCGACAGCGACAGAGACGGGGCGCGCGTGTCGCGCGCGCGAGACCGCGACGTGACCGGCGGGCACGAGCGAGAGTACCCAGGTAATCTGTCAAGACAGGGTGCGCTTCTCAGCTCCCCGGTCCTGGACGTGAGGTTGATGACCGCACTCCAAGTGCTCCAAGTGCAGGGCAATTCCGTCCCCTGGCCCCGCTGTGATTTAACAACACAGTCAGCGTGAGGCGAGAGAAGCCGCGAGGGCAAGGAAGGGCAGACGTCGGCGCCGAAGCCGATCGGATCGATGATCGATGAGAAGTATGAGATCGAGAGAGAGATTTTAGAATCTTTTGAGAGAGATTTTAGAAAACCAACCAACAAGAAATCACGACTCTCTCTTGAGATCGATGAGGCAGAAAAAGAAAGAAAAAAGCCAAACAGTAGGAAGCTGGAAGGCGGGAGAAGCCGTCAAAGCCAGCCACAAAAAGCCGCGAGCCTCCGTTACGCGATTGCTCGCCATGCATGCATGGCTAGCGTGGGAGCGATCGAGCGAATTCGTGGGAGGCATGGCTGGCTGCCGCCGCTGTCTGTTAGAGCAGGCCGCCGCTCGCTGTCAGGTAAAACCTTGCGCTTAGGCGACCCAAGAGACCTCGGGGGCGAGGGTCCACGTTTTGCGTGTCGAGGGTCGCGCCGCCGCCGCCGGCCTCGTACCGCGACGGTCCGCGTAAAGCCGCAAACCAGCCGCTCCAAGGAGAGCAATGCCAATGGGGAAACGGCCGGCACGCCGCCACCACACAGGGATTTTTTATAAAGAAGGGGATGTGGTGCTAGCCGTTGCTCATGTGGCACCAGAGCCTAGCATGCGGTCATTGCGCAGCGTTTTCTTTGTTTTGACTTTGTTTGTGGCGAGGTAGGGCGTGGCCGTGAAAGTCCTGCTCCTCCCCCCTCATCTCTCGCCCTGACGCCCTGCCTGCGCGTCTGCTCCGCCTCCCCCCCCGCCCCCGTGTCGTCTACCCTGCGTCGTCTGGCGAACGAAGGGTCATCCCTCCACAGTCGGTTGAGATCCGCCGCCCTCCTCGTGCCTCTCCCCAACCCCTCGCGCCCCCCTCACTATTTCGCAGAGCGGGCCATCGTGTCCGCGGATGTTCGTACACTCCTGAGGGAGGGTGTAGAGGATGTAGAGTGTAGAGCGCTGTAGAGCTGTAGAGATGTAGAGCGCTGTAGAGCTGTAGAGCTCTACATCCGCCGCGTGACGAACTGCCTGCGTTGTAGAGCGATGTAGAGGCGCTCTACAACGTGAAATCTCTACAACAAACTCTACATCGTAAGCGCGAACGAGGCACGGTCGCTCTCCGACATGAGGCGCGTTGCACTTGCCAGTGCTGCCCTGGCCTTCTGTCTGCCCGCCCAATGGGTGGGAGGTGCCTCTGCTGCTGTGGCATGCCTCACGGCTGCGACTGGCCGGCGCCTCGGCGCGTCAGCTCGGCTCGGCGTAGCGATAGTGGCCAGCGGAACTCGCCTGGACTCAATGCTCAGCCAGGAGCTCCCGCACACGCTGGCGCGAGTCATGGCGCATGCAACGCGCCTGAATGCTCGCCTCGCCTCGCGCAAATGCGACCGTCCTCGCAGCCGACAGTCCACCGCCTGCTAAAGAAGCACAGCGACGAATGCGGCACCGGCGACGTATGGCAGGCTGGTGCCTGGTCATGACGCAGTTATAGTTTTGTTTTGTGCCGTCAGAGTGACTCTCTGTGTGTCAGGGATAGTCCGGGCCGTCCATCAGAGCTCCAGTAAGCTCGGAGACACCCCATTAGCGCGGCTCGACCTCTTTGAGTCACTGCCTTCCCGGCGGTTTGGCTGTAGAGCCTCTACAACAAACTCTACAGCAAAATCGCGCTCTACATCGCTCTACAACGCAGGCAGTTCGTCACGCGGCGGATGTAGAGCTCTACAGCTCTACAGCGCTCTACATCTCTACAGCTCTACAGTGCTCTACACTCTACATCCTTGAGCACTTGAGCACTGGATAGGGTCGGTTCCGCATGGTACGGGACCCCTCGATCGTCTCGCCCACCCTCACTGGTGTGTTCATTGGGGGGGGTCATAACAAACCACACGGTACAGGATCGAGGTGCACGCTGCCGAAGCAGTGTCGTCATCCTCTACACCCTCCCTCAGGTACACTCTGCGGGAGCCGAGGTAGCGCTAGCGGCGCTGGACCCACTTTTCTTTTTCTACCCTCGCGGCGGTGCCAGACAGGTTTAGGGCTTGCTGACCCGCTATGGCCACGTGCTGTGGACACTGGACAGTGTGGCGGAGGTGGGCCCGAACTACACCTTGCTGCGCGGCGAGGAGACGAAGGCGATGCGGCGGGAAGGGGATGTGGACATGTGGTGCTAGCCGTTGCTCATGTGGCACCAAAACCTACTATAGAGCAACTTTTCTTTTTCTACTCGCGGCGGTGTGTGCCAGACAGCGCTTTTGCCCACGCTCTCCCTCCGGTGCGCGCAAGTCGCCACGCCGTCGCGGTGGGGCCTCCCGCACCGTCACGCGTTTCCCATCTCTGCGCTGCAGGCCCGTCTTCGGCGAACGATGCTCCCTGCACCCACCTCTGCGGCGGCCGAGCCGACCGTCCCTGCGCCGCTGCAGCAGCCGACGGCAGAGCCGCTGCCCCCCGCGCCGCTGCAGTCGCCCTCTTCCGCGTCGTCTTACGTCCGCCTGCGTGGCCTGCCATTCGTCACCACCGAGCAGGAGGTGGCGCAGTGGTTTGGGTCGACGCCCGGAGGGCCTATCAGCGTCCTGCGCGTCATCTTCACCTTCAACGCGTATGGCCGCAAGAGCGGCGAGGCGGTGCGCTGCAGCGCCAGCGCACTGCGCCGCCGCCGCTCTGCCGACCTCCCGCGCCGGCCCGAGTGCGCCGCTCGCCGCCCGCCGCCTGAGCACCCACACGCTTTGCTTGTGCAGTTCGTCGAGATGCCCGAGGCGATGGGGGACCAGGCGGTGCAGCTGCTCAACCACCGCCACCTGGGTTCGCGCTACATCGAGGTTTTCCTCTCCAGCGAGTCCGAGGCGAGCCAGGCGCAGACGGCGCCCAACGCGCAGCAGGGCGCATCGGGCAGCACCTGGGCGGAGGGCAACGGGGCTCCGGCGTCCAACGTGCGCCGCCACTCCCCTCCCAGGCTGCGAGGCCGCGCCGCGCCCCGCCTCGCCGGCCGCCTCGCCGGCCGCCTCGCCGCGCGGACGGCTCGCTTGCTCCGACACCTCGCGCCGACGCCCTCGGCGCCCCCCGCCTGCGCAGGGCATCGTGCGCCTGCGCGGCTTGCCCTTCAACGTGACGCAGGACGCAATCATGCAATTCTTCCAGGGCTACCACATCCCCAACGGCGCCATGGCCGTCCACCTCGTCCTCGGCACCAACTCGCGGCCAAACGGGGAGGCGTTCGTTGAGTTTGGGTCCGAGGAGGCGGCCGACGCGGCGCTGGCCAAGGACCGCGCGTCCATCGGCACTCGCTACGTCGAGGTGTTTCGCTCGAACCTGGAGCAGATGCACCAGGCGCTCTCGCGCGCAAACAAGTCCAACAACCTGGCGCCGGTGCAGATGCAGATGGGGATGGGCGCGGGCAGCGGGATGCCCTACGCGCCCTACCCGACCTTCTCCCCCATGGGGCCGCCCATGTACGGCGGCGCGATGGGCGCGCCGGGCGGCATGGGCGTCGTCGATTCGGTGGTCAAGATGCGCGGGCTGCCATACAAAGTGACGCGCAACGACATCCTCGAGTTCTTCGCGGGCCTGTCGGTGCCGCTCAACGGGGTGCACCTGATGTTCAACGAGCGCGAGCAGCCGACCGGCGAGGCGTACGTCGAGTTCTCCTCGCCGGAGGACCGCGAGCGCGCCATGTCAAAGGTGGCGCCGTAGATGCAGGGCCGCGGCCTCCCAACGCAGTTGCAACCAGCGCCTCGAGACGAGACGAGACGGCACGTGCTCGGATGCACCCCACCGCAGTCAGGCCCTAGGCACGGCATGGGCCGCCCTCCTCGCACTCCCGCGGCGGTCGGCGTACGCGGCGTCACCCTGACCGTGTGCTGACCGTGTGCTGCGCCCCTCGTGCGGCAGGACCGGCAGCACATGGGCGGCCGCTACGTCGAGCTTTTCCGCGTGAGCCGCGCGGAGATGATCCAGGCGCTCGAGCAGTTTGTGGGGGGGTACATGTCCAACAGCTTGCAGATGCATGGCGCGCCGCCCCCCTACGGCATGTACGGCGGCCCGTACAGCGGATCGTACAGCCAGCCGGCTGGCTTCGCGGGCATGCAGCCGCCGATGGGCGGGCCGGGCTACGCGATGGGCGGCATGCCCGGCGGCATGCCCGGCCACCCGGGCGGCGGGAAGGCGGGCACGCTGCGGATGCGCGGGCTGCCCTTCCGCGCCACGGTGGACGACGTCTATCGCTTCTTCAACGGCTTCCACGTCCTGCCGGGCGGCATCGTGCTCGGCCAGCGGGACGGGAGACCGAGCGGCGAGGCGTGGGTCACATTCTCATCGCCGGCGGAGGCGCAGCGCGCGCTGGGGATGAACCACAAGAACATGGGGAGCAGGTACGTCGAGCTCTTCGCCGCGAGCTAGCCGCGGCCATCGAGGGGGAACCCGCGTCATGAAGGGGGGGGGGAGGGAGGGCTGCACTGCGGCTGCACGCGTGCTTGGGAGGGGGGAGGGGTGGGGCAGCGAGGCCGGGGGAGGGGGGGGCGGGGGAGGGGGGAGGAGGCAGGAGCGGGTAGAGAGACCGAGTCCGGAGAGAGAGAGGAGAGAGCGAGGAGAGAGGCGAGAGCGAGCGAGAGAGCGAGAGACCGCCTGGGCGCGCCTCTCGGGCTCGGCGGGCGAGCCGAGGCCGTGAGCCCGTCGGCCGTCGGCACGACCGTGTGCTCTTACGGCGCGCCGTGGCCCTCACCGTGCTACAGCATAAACGTGTAATATACACGGTCTGTTTATTCAAAAGCGGGCTATTAAGTTTGGCCAACAGTAGGTCCACCAACCCTTTGGCTATCCAGATCCGAGCTGCGGCGGGCTCGAGAGCAGCTGCTTGAGCAAGTCGAGGCCGGACCAGCTGTCGGCGTCGGTAGAGATCTCGAACCACAAAGCCTCTCCTCCGAGGCCGTCGGCGGGCGGTATGTGCTCTCGCCGCCCGCTCGCGACGGTCAGGATGAACTCGATCCGCCGGCGCAGCACGGCCTGCCCAAGCCCAGAGAGAGCGCGGGGTGAGCTCCCAGCTCTACCGAGGAGGGCGGGGGGAGTGGCGGCGCCTCGAGCGACGCCTGTCGCCTCCGGCTCTCCTCGTCCTGGCTGTCTGCCTCGGTCGAGCGGCCGGCGCCGTGCGCGCCCGGCGGCATCTGCGCGCCGCCCATGTGCCGGTGCAGCTGCGCAAAGTTCGGCACGACGACCAGCGGGATGGTCCAGCGCTCCCAGACGACGCGCTCCTGCGCCGGAGCCGGGAGGGAGGCTGAGCGAAGCGGGCGTCGTCTCGCGAGGAGCAGGCCCGGGTCGCGCCTCGGAGCGGAAGAGACCGAAGGCCGCCTGGCGCGCGCGCCGCTCAAAGAAGGCGAGCGACACGCGGGCGCCTCGCTCGATCGCAGAGGAGAAGGCCTCGGCATGCTCCTCCACCCGCGCCTCGACCAGCCTGGAGTCACATCGCACGTACCTGGCGCCGCGCGAGCGGAAGTCAGCGAGGGCCGCCATTTCCGCCGATGCAGGGCTGGCGGCGCACGAGATGTCAAACAGCTCCGAGTCGACGTCGCGGAGCCGGCACTCGCCGAGCGCCCGCTGGAAAATGATGGAGTGGAGCAGGATTTTCAGCACCTCCTTGAGCTGGAAGCGCTCCACGTGCAGCTCCTCGAGTGCTATCTGCTCACAGTTCATGTGTCGCTATGCGCGCAGGCGTCCGGCTGCGGCAGCGCGACGAAAAAGAAATGTAATTTATGATGACCGAAATCCGGCGTGCCGTCCTCCCATCCCTCCCTTGGCCTGCATGTTTTCTTTCTTTTCCGGCCCGCTGGGTGCGCTTCTTAGCTCCTCGGCCCTGGATGTGAGGTTACCGACTGCACTCCAAGTGCTCCAAGTGCATAAGACTCGATAAGACGCGCTCTCCCTCAACCCTCCGCCTCTCTCTCGCCGTCGGCACCGTCGCCTCCCCTCCTCGCGACGCCGGAGCGGCGGAGCGGGAGGCCCATCTCGACGCCGGCGGCCTCCGGCAAAAGCTGCCAGTGCACGCCGTCGCTCGAGTGCAGCAGGCCGATCGCGGACTGGTGCGTCTGCGTCTCCGCCTCGCCCATCAGTGCCATCCACCAGCAGTCGCCCTCGGCCCAGACGAAGGGAGCGCCGTACCGGCCCGCCGTCCAGCGCGCCTCGCCCACCGAGAGGGCGCCCCGCCGCTGCCACGAGATCAGGTCGTCCTTCGAGACCGCGTGCGCGAGGTGCTGCGACTTGAGCCCCTCGCTGTAGATCATGACGGCGTCGGAACGGCGCCGGAAGACGGCGACGTTCTCGACGCCGTCCGGCGCGCGGCTCGACGTCCCGATGAGCGGCGCCTCGCGCGAGAGAACCTACGGGGCGCACCGTGCAGCGCCTCGCCCGCTCCGCTCGGGAGAGGCATCCCACCGGCCTGCTCGGCTGCACCTCCCACCTCTGCAGGTCGGGGTCGGTGCTCACCGCCTGGCCGAGCAGGTTTGCCCGCCGCCGATCGCCCCTCTGCCGCTTCGTGCTCCCCACAAAGAAGCAGTGCAGCCGCCCCTCCGAGTCGAGCACGAGTGTGGGGTCGATGGCGCGCCTAAAAAGAAATATCCGCCTAAAGAACAAATGTGGCGGCGAAATTGTGTGGCGTCGTCTGCGCGCCCTCCGGTATTCCACGGCAGCGTGAGCGCCTCGCGCAGGAAGGGGCGCGGCTCGCTCCAGATCTCGCTGCCGTCGTCGCGCCGCGAGAAGAACAGGCCCGAGGACTTGCCTCCGAGCGACTTGTCCGGGTAGGCCTGGAAAGCGATGATGGTGGCGTTGTCCCAGCGGATCGGCGCGTCGGGCGAGGCAAAGCCGGGCGGAGTAATGTCGCTGGGCTCGCTGAAGGTCTGCCAGTCTCGAGTGACGACGCGCGAGACGTAGTAGTCCTTGGCGCCTGCGCTGGTGAACATCGCCGCCGGATTGCCACGGAAGTAAGTGAAGAAGAGCTCGGCCTCACCGGCCTCATTCAGACGCACGGCCGGATCTCGCACGCGGCCCGGCAACGAAAAGACTGGATTGAACAGAGACCGCTTGGCACACGACGAGCTGTTGCGCCGGAGCGATGGGAACGAGAGCAGTGCCGGAAGCAGCACGTGCTGCATGGCCGAGGTACGGCAGCTGCAGCAGCGGCAACTCTTGCTCGACGACCGTCTGCCGCCTTGACTTTTCTGGCCGCTGACTTTGGCGGACCTGCGTGTCCGGGCCCGGGCAGCGTGCGACGGCGAGGCAGGGTTTGGCAGCGAGGATGGCGTGCTGCCGACTTTGGGGTGACGGAAACCCCAGGAAAAAAAGAAAATGCTCCGCACGGCCAAGATAGGGCAGGAAAAAAATCGCGGCGCGGCTGTCCGTTGGGCGCCTGGTAAAACGGCCGCACGTGAACATGGGGCACGGTAAGATTAGTGTCCGAAGGAATCAAGGCAGGGCAGTGAGCTCGCAGGCTGCTCAGTCGCCATCGCCGCGTGTCAAGTCAGGACAGAGGACACGCCCGGCGGGTATCTACTGCTGCGGCGTCTGTGGCTGAATGAGGTGCAGTGTTCCCGTGTCGGGAGTCGTGGTCGACACTCTAGAGTTGACGGGGTCTAGAGTTGACGGTTGCAACTGGGTGTGCGCGAGCGGCGCCCACCTACAGTAGCGGGGGACATGGAGATGGCTCCTGACCAACCGAGGTTCATGGACGAGACCGTGGTCGTGGAGAGCAAGGCTGTAGCCGTTCGCGTCAGACGTGCTACTGTACACCAGAGGGGAAACGCGCCAAGGCATGTTGTCGCCGCGACGCGGTCAAGGCCTCGGAGGGCTGGTCCCAGGCAGAAGGAGAATCGGTGAGGAGATTGATTGGGACTCTTGCGCGAATGCATGGACAAGGCCAGGTGGGAAGGCCATTCGCTGTCTTCAAGCCCTTCAAGCCCGAGCGTTTGTTCAAATAGCGGAAGACTGCGGCGTAATGAGTCTGACCTCGCTGACGCTGCCATATGCGATATCGGCACTCGAGGGCGCAGGGCTAGATATGAATTCGCCATGGAGCCGTGGTTGTCATGGACGCGCACATTGTCAGCGGGTGCTTCTGCTGACAGGGCGCATTGCGATGACCGGGTGGCGCGCCGCTGCCAGGTCGGGGCAGCGCTGGCTAGGCGGGGGCATGGTCAGTCTGCAAAGAATCGTACGAGCAGCGTGTCGGTAGCCGCCAATGGTGAGTGTCCTTGTACGAGACTGATGTGTACACGAGAGGTCGGTTCTGTGTAGGAGGGTAGTCGTTGGGGACGTGCTGCGGTTATTGTTTAGCAGGGGAAAGGAGCGCGTGCAGCCCAGCTCGGCGGCCGCGGCACAGGACGCTAGCGAGCGCTGCGAGGCAGTGGGCCCAGGTTGCAACACCTGTTCCGCACTGTGCTGTGAATCGAGCGGCAACCAACAGCTCTCAGGACCACCCGGTGCTGGGGTGCTGCCAGCAACCAACCAACTCACCGGCGAGCGGAGCGAGCCGAAGAGCTGGGGCCGAATTGGCGCTGTGAACGTCGTTTTGAACCGATGTTTCGGCGGGCACGTCGCACCTACGTGGCGGGCCACCGGGGCCCGCCCCGCGCGGATGCCGACGAGGATCACGGTGCGCTATCTGGGCTTGGAGGTCGGCAAAAAGGTCGCGCGACCCGACACCAAGGGGGAGTTGCTCGAGCTGGCCGCCAAGAGGCTCAACTTATCTACGCCGGCCTCGCGCATCTTTGCGGCCTCCCCTACGAGCGGCCTGTATTGCACCATAGGTCGTCGGCTTTGCCGACCGACGGGCGACGTGGACGGGACAGTCACAGCGACTCGAAGGGACGTGCGAGCCACGTACCCGAACAAGCACTGAGAACGGGGCATTCCACCCGCACTGTTGCACTGGTGGGATAGGGTCGATTCCGCATGGTACGGGACCCCTCGATCGTCTCGCCCTCCCTCACTGGTGTGTTCATTGCATCATTGAGGGGGGTTATATAACAAACACGGTACAGGATCGAGGTGTACGCTGCTGAAGCGTGCACCTACATAGTGCGGGACCTGGGGCAGCAACCAACAACCTGGATGGGGACGGGGTGCTGCTCAACCGGCGGCAACCAGCAGCGTTCACAGCAGTGTGCGGAACAGGTGTTGCAACCTGGTAATAAGACGGCTCGCTGGCCTGGTGGCGCAGGTTGTGTGAGAATTCTTTTTTCACACACGAGGGAGTTTCGTTGTAAAATTCTTTTTTCAGTGCTTTCACGCGCCAGTTCGCACCTGTGTCGAGCCTGTTTGCTGTGAGAGAGAGTTGTAAAAAACAATGCTCAATGGAGGGGACCGGCTCTAGAGTCAAAACAACGTGTTGGGCGTGCATGTGCCATGTGAGATTAATTACAAATGGGTAGAGGGGAGCGCTGCTTTAAAAAGCAGAGGGCCCAGAGGGCCCGAGATCAGCGTCTTCAAAGGGTGGCTGTCCTCTTCGCTGAGCGCACAGCCACGGTGCCAGCCTTGCCATACGGTCTGCTTGCATGTTCCTGGCAGTCGCCGTCGCAGCGCCAATAGGCACCGCTCGCCAACAGGTTAGCCATACCGAGGCGGGTCCGTTCGTGAACGCCGCAGGGTCTCAACCCCTGGGCCAGTTGTTGGTGGAACCACCTCAAGGCCGGCGCGCGTGCGCGGGCGATGGACTACGCCAGCAGCTGTAGCCCTAACGCACTGTTCTGGGCACTGGCCGAGCTCACATGAAGAAGCACTGGAACAGCAGGAGGACCGACTGCGCGAACGGCTGGAAAGAAGAATAGTAATTGCCAACATTGTAGCCGGCAAACGTGCACGTGACGTGAAAGACGCAACAATCGCAGTGAATGCTGACTTGAGATTGTCGAGGAAAAGAAGGCGAGGCGGCTTGGTGGCAGGTCTAGGAGCGGCTGACGTGTCACCCTTGGTCTGCTCAGCATCCGTGGGCTCCAGCGCCGGCACTGGCGCCGGTGCTTCGCTGCAGCAGCATCTGGCAATGCAGATCACGGTGACGGCTGGAATGGCAATCAAGGCTTGACCGAGTAGTCCCACAACAGTCGGGACGAGGGGGGCAGTGGCCAGGAAGAGAGCTGCGGAGGTCCAAAAGAAGGGACGAGACAAAGCCGGCGCCTGCGCGGGCCGCAATCGTAAATTCTTTTCTGGCGAGTTTGATTCATTCTTCGGCAGGCGGCGTGTGTGTGTGTGTGTGTGAGTGTGGCAGGCGGCGGACCAGCTGAGTAACAAACTTTCGCAAGCTCAGCACCTCGATGAGGTCACATGGACCACCAAGAACTGGCACGGGCTGCAGATGCAGCGCTTGTCTGTCGTTCTCCACACCGCCGTGGCGTGGCAGACGGTGAACGAGCTAGCGTGCGGGGACAGCGGCATTGTGCACGGGGCTAAGTGCATTGCCGTTCTTAACGGAGTCGCTTAGGCGGCTCCGGTGGTGTGCCTGTGATAGTACTAGCACGCGCCAGTTCGCACCTGTGTCGAGCCTGTCTGCTGTGAGAGAGAGTTGTCCTGCGACATTCTTCACATGGTTTTTAAATTCTTTTCTTCTGCGGTACGAGATGCCGGTCTCGAGCGGCGCGGGCGGCGCATGCTCGGCGGCGGGAGCGAGTGCCGCGGCTTCTTCCGGCTTGGGCAGCCTTCCCGCAGAGGCGGCGAGAGCGGCTGGGCGAGGCGACGAGGCGGCGCTGCTGGCGTGGCTCGACAGTGGCGGGCGGGTCAACGCGACTTGCGGGGTAGGCAATGTGAGCGGCATCACCGCGCTGGCGCTCGCCGCCACCAAAGGCCACGAGCGAGTGGTCGAGCTGCTGCTGCAGCGCGGCGCGGAGATCAACCAGCAGGACAGCAGAGGCCACACCGCGCTGATGCACGCCGCCACCAACGGCCACGAGCGGGTGGTCGAGCTGCTGCTGCAACGCGGCGCGGATGCCAACTTGCAGAGGAGCGAAGGCGGCACCGCGCTGATGCTAGCCGCCGCTCACGGCCACGAGCGGGTGGTCGACCTGCTGCTGCAGCGCGGCGCGGAGATCAACATGCAGAACAGCAAAGGCGTCACCGCGCTGATGCTCGCCGCCAGCAAAGGTCACCCCGCCGTCGTGCTCCGCCTGCTGCGGGCGGGCGCGGATACAAAGCTGCGCACTGAAAGCGGCAAGTCCGCGCTGCAACTGGCGAAGGAAGGGGGCCACAGCGCGTGCGTCGAGGCCTTCCGGCAGCACGTCGCGGAGGTGACTGCGAGCCGGCGCGAGGCGGCGGCGGGCGGCGCGGGCGGCGCTTCCTCGGGCGAGGCGGTGGCGGGCGCGAGTGCCGCGGCCTCTTCGAGCTCATTGGGCATCCTTCCCGCAGAGGCCAGGCAAGCAGCCCTCCAAGGCGACGAGGCGGCGCTGCTAGCGTGGCTCGACAGCGGCGGGCGGGTCAATGCGACTTGCGGGGTAGGCAACGAGAGCGGCGTCACCGCGCTGATGTTCGCCGCCCGCTGCGGCCACGAGTGGGTGGTCGACTTGCTGCTGCAGCGCGGCGCGGAGATCAACACGCAGAACGGCAACGGCTTCACCGCGCTGATGGACGCCGCCAGCTTCGGCCACGAGCGGGTGGTCGAGCTGCTGCTGCAGCGCGGCGCGGAGATCAACATGCAGGACAGCAACGGCGTCACCGCGCTGATGAGCGCCGCCGCTCACGGCCACGAGCCGGTGGTCGACCTGCTGCTGCAGCGCGGCGCGGAGATCAACCAGCAGGACAGCAGAGGCGGCACCGCGCTGATGCTCGCCGCCCACCACGGCCACGAGCGGGTGGTCGAGTTGCTGCTGCGGCGCGGCGCGGAGATCGACCAGCAGCACAGCGACGGCGGCACCGCACTGATGCTCGCCGCCCAGGAAGGCCACGAGCGGGTGGTCGAGCTGCTGCTTCGGCACGGCGCAGAGGTCGACGAGCAGGACAGCGACGGCGGCACCGCGCTGATGGTCGCCGCCATCCAAGGCCGCACCGCCATCGTGCTCCGTTTGCTACGGGCGGGCGCGGACACGTCACTGCGCTCGGAGAACGGCAGGACGGCGCTGCAGATTGCCAAGAGGAATGGCCACGCCGAGTGCGTGCGCGCCATCGAGGAGCATGCGGCGGCGGAGGCGGCGGCGGAGGCGGAGATGAGGGAGGCGGTGAGAGCGGCGGCAGAGGCGGAGGCGACGCGGCATGCCGAGGTGCTGCTGGCGGAGGAGGAGGCGGAGAAGGAGGCGGGGGGGCGCGACAAGGAGAGCAAGAAGGGCAAGAAGAAGAAGAAGAAGGGGAAGGGCGGAGGCGGCGGCGCTGGGTCGTCGCGGGAGCCTGAGGATGAGGCAGCGCTGGCGGCGGGAGAGGAGGCGGAGTTGGCGGCGGCGCTAGAGGAGAGCGCGAGGCTGGAGGAGAGGCGGGCGCCCGACGAGCAAGCCTCGACCTCTTTGGCTGCAGAGAGGCCACCTTCGGTGGAGGAGGAGGAGCCGCCGGACGACTTCGTCTGCCCGATCACGACCGAGGTGATGAGCGACCCGGTGATGGCGGCGGATGGGCACTCATACGAGCGGACGGCGATCGAGCGCTGGCTCGCGACCAAGTCGACGAGTCCTCTGACAGGGGGCGAGCTCGACCACACTTGTATCTTCCCAAACCACTCGCTGCGTCGGATGATCCGAGAGTGGCAGAAGGCGCAGTGACCCCCCCTCGCCTAGTTTCCTCTTTCTCGCATGCACTGACGTGCAACTGAGTGTCTAATTCCTCTATATGTCTATATGTCTAGTTGGAGTTGCGCCTTCCATCGCAAAGCGCCGGGCACCTCTCGGCGACGCCAGGCACCGCCACCGCTCACACCGGGAGAAGGTGCGCGAGACCGGGCGCGTTCGGGAGCGATGCTTGATCCGATGCAACTTCTGAAGGTGAAGCGCACCCCGGCGGGCCAGGCGCGCGTGCAGGCAGTTCTTGGTTAAAGGGAGAGGCTCTGAGTTGCACAGGGCGGTTGTGCGCCCCGGGCCTCCTGTGACAGCATCGGCGATGGCCCCCGTCGCGGCTAGCGGGCCCTTGGTGCTGGCTGCAGGCAACCTCGACGGCACGGCAACGTCATGGCTCGAGGCCAACTGGATGTTCTTCTCCAGGTTGCAACACCTGTTCCGCACAGTGCTGTGAATCGAGCGGCAACCAACAGCTCGCAGGACCCCCCGGTGCTGGGGTGCTGCCAGCAACCAACCAACTCGCCGGCGAGCGGAGCGAGCCGAAGAGCTGGGGCCAAATTGGCAAATTGGCGCTGTGAACGTCGTTTTGAACCGATGTTTCGGCGGGCACGTCGCACCTACGTGGCGGGCCACCGGGGCCCGGCAGCAGGGCGCCCCCGCGCGGATGCCGACGAGGATCACGGTGCGCTATCTGGGCTTGGAGGTCGGCAAAAAGGTCGCGCGACCCGACACCAAGGGGGAGTTGCTCGAGCTGGCCGCCAAGAGGCTCAACTTATCTGGGTTTTTCCAGGTATACCCGCAAAATACCCGGTATTTTGCCGATTTTGCCGATTTTGCCACCAAGAAGGCACTCCGACTCGCTTTGATTTCCGTGAGGCAACTGGTATCCCGTACCACTTTTTGATTAGTTCAGGCCTAGGGTTTGATTAGCCAAAAACTCCCATATACCGGTAAATATTCAACACTGCCAGGAATGGTTGGGTAGTAGGGCTAGAGGGTCGCTCTACACTTAGCCTCTGCAGCGAGCAAGCGCTCAACTTAGCCCCCGCACGGAGCCGGGCTCAGACTTAGACCCTCATGGTCGGGGGCCATGAACTTAGACGACATAAGGCCAACTCCGGGTAAAACCCGGGTATCCTGAAAAGCTTTCAGGTTTACCCGAAAAATACCTGGACGCGTCCCGACCAACGTTTGCCGCGCACGACGCCATCTCCCAGGGCCTGTGGAGAGGTATTTTCTTCTCAATAACAAGGCTGTGGACGCGTCCCGACCAACGTATGCCGCGCCGCGCACGACGCCATATCGCCTTGTCCCAGGGCCAGTGCGCTACTTGCGGCGCGCAACGCCTGCTCAAGTACGCGCAATGTACCATATGCTGCCGCTATGCGTGCCTAAGGCGGCTGCGGCGAAGCGGCGGGCGCGGCATGCCGATGGCAGTGCGGACGATGCGGTTGCGATGTGTTCTGCTTCAAGATCGTGGCGGTGCTTGGCATGCACTTCTGCGATCCCAATCAGCTCATCGCAACGAAGCAGCGCAACAAGCTGGCTGCTGCCAACAAGGCCCTATGCTACCTCACGCGCGGATCGTTCAAAGAGGACCAGCATACACAGGCTTCTCTGACACGCGTTTGTTTGAGCTTGAGGCTATTTGTGAGAACTGTTTGGCGAGAAGTCGCCGAAGATTGCGCTCAAGAAGCAGCAACGAGAATCGGAAGAGGAGGATGCTGAGGCGGCGATTGCTGAGCATGAGAAGGATCGATCGCCCGCCGCAGGCGAAGAAAATTTGGGGGCTGCGCCGTATCGTTGTACGTTGATCACGGTGGGAGCCTCTTGGCCCCAGGCCGTCCACGGCCGACTTAGCCGATGTAAGAGGCTCCCGCTGATCTTAGACCGCGCAAGCACTCCAGCGTGGCTAGCCACACTTAGACCCGTTAGGCCTCCAGGCTCAGAACTTAGACTACTACCCAACCAGTCTGCCAGGTAAGCTAAAAGTACGTACACTGAGAGGCCTAGAAATCGCGCGCCTCCCTCTCCCTTTTCTCCCAGTAAAAGTACGTACACTGAGAAAAATGAAAGGCCTTTTTGACCGCGCAAGATGTAAAGGGTGGCTAAGGCAAAGGTCTCTGGTGCCCGCAAGGCGCCCGCGTCGCAGACGCGGTACCATTGACAACACGAACAAATAGCAAAATCCGAATATCGTGCACGAACTGTGTGATCTCACACGGGGGCAAGCCTTCAGCTGGTGCCAAGACTTCCGTAAAGTTGAAACCAGAACGTCCGCCAAATCCGTGCAAATTCTTCAACCGCCCCAGTTCCAGACGGCGCCGTCGGCGGTGAGGGCGAAACTTTGGTGGCCTGCTGCCGACACAGAGACCACGCGCTGCCCAGCGAAGGCCTCGGCCTTCTTTGGCAGCAGCTGGTGATGCAGGTCGCCGTGGCCCAGCTTGCCCCAGGCTCCACACAGCCTCATGGCCCCAGCTTCACACAGCACCGGATGTCGACGGGGCCCTCGCAGCGAGAGAGGACGCGCACGAGGAGATCCTTGGGGAGGTCGAGGAGGCGGGCGGACGGCGGCGCGCGCGGCGAGGGCATAGCCTTTTATCTTGCTGAAACTGGCAGTGCGCATGCGCAGTTCAAGCGGCTGAGACGCTGCCGCTTCTCAGGCGAGCTCGTCCGGTGGAGGATCCATGAAGGATGGTCGCCCGCGCTCCGCCAGGCCAGGCTGATGTTTCGCCTGAATGCCTGCACGTGCAGCCAGCACTCAAACGAGCCGTAGTCCTTGGTGGCTCCCGTGAAGTTGCACACCGATTGCCCCTCCCGAGGCGTCACACCAGCAAAGTCCGGCGTGGCCAGCCGCCCAAAGGTAGCCCGGCTGAAGATCATGTGCACATCATTGAGTTGCACCTTGGAGCACGCCGACGGGCCCCAGAAGCAGCGGTATGTCCAGGCGATGTTATCACAGTTGGGAAGCGAGCGATGGGAGACGCTGATGGGATAGGTGATCGTGTCAGGCCTGGTGCGAAGCACTCGCGCAAAGCGGACTCCAAAGCGAAGCTCGTGCTTGCGGATGCGCTCCTCGCATAGCACGATTTGCCGCCACTGCTGCTTTTGCACCTTGGATCTATTGCTGCCCAGTATCGAGTTGATGCGGAAGACGGTCGCGTTGGGCACGCAAGAGCCCAAAAATTGAGAGCGGCACCGATCGAGGTCTGATCCCGCTCGCCACAGCCCGGTGAGGCAGACTGCGACACCGCGCTCTGCGGCGCGAGACTGTCTAGCACAGTTGCCTCTGGCCAGTTGAGCCATCAGAGTCGCCAGCCGCGGCGCGAGCAGGCCCCGGCCGTCCCAGAAAAAGAAAAACCGCCACAAAAGAGACAATATACATATGCAAAGATATACTGTAACGCGAATTTCCACTTAACCCACCGCGCAGCCCCGGACACGCCCCCGAGCGCCGCGCGATCTCCAGAGCCCTGGGTGTGAAGCGCGAGTTGTGGATCAGGATTCTGGATACGCTCAGCCAAGCTTATTTCTGGAGGCTTTCTTCGGTGCGCAATGCCTTAGACCCACGCGTGCGCCAGGATGCCCAGCTCCTCCCGCAGGCGCACAAAGTTCCGGTACACCTCGCTCAGCGCGACGGTCGGGTTTCGCCGCATCCTCCTATCCTTCCGGCTGCCGATGTGAAACCCGTGCGGATGGACGCAGACTTCCTTGCGAGTCGTGCAGCCCACGCGTGATGCTCGGGTCGCAGAGGCCCAGTGCTGCTCCCAAAGCAGCACGTCGACTAGTCCGCTGATGCTCGCGTTGGCGAGGAGCTGGTTGACTAGGCTCAGCTCCAGCGGCGAGTTGTCAATGTCGAGCTTGGCGACAACCAGGTCTGCGGGCTTGGCGAGGAGGGAGAGGAGGGACCACGGGTGGCGAGGGGAGCCTGGCTGGTCGTCGACGGGCACGTTGTAGAAGGTCGCACGGGCGGCGATCTCCAGCGGGACCTGCTCCCATAGCTCCTCGCCGCTGTGCGGCTCCGCCTCCCAGGCCTACGTGGTGGAGACCGAGGGACTGGACCGTCTTCGAAGTGGCCATGCAACTCGTGAATCTGCCGGGGGGCGGCGGCAATGCGGATAAGTTGCCATACGCAATACTGGCGGATGATGCCGCATCTAGGGACGGGCGCGAGGATCCGATCAAACTGGACGCCGAGCGCAGCAAACTTGTCGACCAGCCACCTCGTCGCGGCGGCGCCCACCTCGCCCTCGCCCGCTCCGCCGCCCTTCCACAGCGAGGCGCCGATGTCAAGCAGGATTGCCCGTCCGCCCCGCCGGCGGAGCAGCGCCACCGCATCAAACTGGACGTAGCGAGTCGAGAGGATCTCCCCCATGTACTCTCGCGTCACCGGCGGCGCGGGCCAGGCGGAGAGATTGCGGCGCTGGCAGGGAAAATCCGGGTTCCTCAGCAACCCAACGAGCGGCTCGATCCGAATTTTTTGCCCGTGGCAGTTCATCACGCTCGCGTCGGCTGGCCATCGCACGGGACGGTAGAGGCGGCACAGCTCGTCCAGGCCGAATTTGGCCCGCGCCGTCTCGGCCGCCGCCAATGCGCGCACCCATGTCTGCTCCAGCTCGGATGGCGCGTAGCGGCAGCGAGGAGGCATATGTCGGCGATGGGGACGCGCGAAACTTGCAGTCACGTCCTTTGGCAATACCCGGAGCGGACCAAAAGGAAAAAGAAAACACTGCCTGAAGGAGGGATGAGGGATGCGGTGTGCGAATTCTTCTTGGGCCTTCTCCCGCTCCCATGACGAGCGACCGCTCGGCGCGTCCCGTCAACAGCGCCTTCTCGCGGCGGACGCTGGACGCTGCGCCGCTCGCCTCCGCCTTTGAGCGGGAGGGCTATTTGCTGTTCCCACGGCTGCTGACCCGGCGCGCCACGGCGCAGGCTCAGCGGGCAGCCTCGCGCCTGTTGCGTCGCCGCCACGCGTCGGTGCCGTCCGGTTGGCTGCTCGGCCTCCACCAGCGCAACCAGCCAGAGCCGCAGCGGTGGGTCGAGCGCATCGCCGCCGACCCAGCCGTCGCCCGTCTGGTGCGGGCCCTGCTCGGCGGCAGCCGGCCGGTGCTGGTCTCCTCGCAGCTCTTCGTCAAGCGCGCCGCCGGCCGCGCCGACGACGAGGCGGCGCCCTCCTCGGGCGAGGTGCCGTGGCACCAGGACGGCGCCGCGGGCGGTCACTCGCTCGCCATCTGGCTGCCGCTCGACGCCATCGACCCGACGGGACACAACGGAGGGCTCGCGGTGCTGCCGCGGCTGCACGCGAGCGGCCGGCTGCCCAGCGAGCCTTGCGAGGCGAACGCGGCCTCGTTCGACCGCATCCAGCCCGAGGCGCTCGCCGGGCACGAGGCGACCGCCGTCCGGTACGCCCTCGCGGCCGGCGGCGCGGGGCTGCACGGCCCACTCACGCCACACTCGTCGCCCCCGAACGCGAGCGGCGCGGACCGGCGGGTGCTCGTGCTGCGCTACTGCGCGGCGGGTGCGCCGGCGGTGCGCGGCGAGCGGCTGTGGGCGCCAGGCGGCGCGGTCGCGGCCGCCGGCGGCGAGCCGCGCACGCAGATCCCGTGCTGGTCCTCGGGCGAGCTCATCGACCGGCAGGGCCTGCTGGTGGGCGGGGAGGGGGGGGCGGCAGCGCCGTCGCCGGACGGCGGCGGCAGCCCCAATGAAAACGGGACGAAGCGGAAGCGAGGCGCGGGGTGAGCGTCCCTGCAGTATTTCTTGTGGGAAATTCGCGTGTGCTGGGGCCCGCCGGCGTGGCTAAAGAAAGAAAGAAAACGGCGGGATCCCAGTGCCAAAAGAGGGATGGGACGACGGCTAAATAAATAAATAAATAAAACGGACACCTCTACTAGGGGACGACGGCTAGGGCGCAGACCCGGTGGAATTTCTTTTTCTCGCGCAAGGCGCGGCCCGAAGAGCGAAGAAGGCCAAAGGCGAGGGTTGTTCGTCGCGACGCCAAGCTGCAGAACATATATGTGTGCAGGCCGCCCAGCGCCCATGACGCGTCAAGCTCAAGGAGTGAGGCGCGGAGCGCCGCGCGCGCGCGCGCGCGCGCGGAGCGCGCCCCGAAGAAAATTTTGAGGGTTTTGTGGAGGGCTAGATGCGATTTCTATTAAGAGTTTGACTCACACGCAGGAACCACTCGGCCCACCCACAGGCCCAATCTCAAGTGGCGGCGCTCCGCACCTACCCAGCGGCGCGCTCCGCGCGTGCTTTCCAGCGGCGCGCTCCGCGCGTGCTCTGCGGCAGTGCTACTGCAACTTCCGCAGCTCCAGCAGCTTAGGGTACCCCTAGGGTTCTGAGGGCCGGATTTTTTTAAGACCTTTTAAGAAATGAGGAGGTTTGGGGGCTCAAATTGTCATTTAAGAGATTGCAGGCACGGGGGGTCTCTCTTTTAAGACCGTTTAAGAAAATCGGCCTCACCGGCACGCGTCGCTGCGCGGAGGCTGCGTTCCGCGCCGTTTTCTCCAATACTGCCGTTATTAGGCACAAACCCGCCTCTGAAGGCACATCTGTAAGTCTGGTGCACTGGCAGGAGCCATACTCGCATAGGGGACGCGTGCCAGCTGACTGTAGCCAGCTTCCCCCGGCCTCCGGCGTCTACTGGGGAGCCTCCCGGACCATCGACCTCGGGAGCTCTCCCGCAGCGTTTAAGCGTTTAAGACCGTTTAAGGAATCGGCCCAGCAGCTCTTAAAACCGGCCTAGGCCGGTTTTAAGCCGTTTAAGCCGCAGGCGCCCCAGGGCCCACCCTTTTAAGCCTAGGGGTACCCTAAGTCCAGCAGGTATCAGCAGTGAGTTCACCGCCAGTTATCTGTGCCTCCGTTCGTCGCTCTCGTGCTTGATCGTCAGGCCGTGCTCTCACGTCCGCCGGAGCTACCTCGGCTATCGGCACCATTTTACAAGTTTGACCGCCGACATGTCGGGCGGTCCGGCTCAGTCAAGGCAGTGTCGCTCGGCGCTCGCTGGCTCCGTGGATGCTTGTGCTGCTGAGCAATCCAGGCGCACTTTGGCAGCCGGCGGCAGCGACTTGCGGCGTCAGCATTCGAACGGTTGAGTTGATTTGCTCTTGCTCCGCGGTATCTAGCCGGCGCGCTCCGCGCGGGTGTCCAGCTAGCGCGCTCCGCGCGTATGTCCAGGTAGCACCAGCGCGCTCCGCGCGCACCATATCTCAGTGCCTATGCTTATATAGCCACTAAAAGCTCGTTTCTGCAGCTTGGTCGCGACGTCGTCCCGCACAATCTGTGGACGATGGACAAGTCGTGAAAATCGTACAGGTGGGAGAGAATGCAGTCGGCACGAGGACGGCGAGCTCAACGGCGAGCTCAATGTTGTCCTGCGGCAAGACGAAGAGAGAGAGAGAGAGATTTTTAGAAGCCAACAAGAAATGTGTCACACAGAGTGATTTGCGCTCGGCAGCTTGTCGACTACCAGCCGGAGCCGGAGTCGGAACCGTAGCCGAGATGGTCTTCGAGGGTGTCGAATATGTCATTCGCCTCGCTAGTGGAGCCGGTGCCGCATGAGTCGCGGTCGGAGGAGGAGTCGTCGGAGGAGCGGTCGGACCGCTCGCGCTTGTCGCGCCTGATGCGCTCTGCGAGGGGGCCGGGGTCGTGGTCGTCGTGCTCGAGCGTTGGGTAGGTAGCGAAGACGAATGAGTCGAAGGCGAATGAGTTCAGCATGAACCAGCATGTCATAATGTCATTCGAACTCGAGTTGGCAACCCACGCTTCATAAGGTGCTGGTGTACACCTTGTACCGACACAGTGGTAGGCGCGCAGCGCCCACACCCGCCAGTGCGCGCCAGTCCCGTGTCTAGTGTCGTGCGAGGGCCGGCAAAATTCTTTTTGGGGGCGCGCCGCCAGGCGCGTCCCCACTTTTGTATCACAGCTGCGAGGGCCAACCAAGGGATTCGGAGCGGTCAGATAGGTAGCGAGCGGTCAAATAGGTCCTGGGCCGCAGGCCGGCGCGCAGCGCCACGCCGCCAGGCGTCCGCCGGAGGCCCGCCGGAGGCTCTTCCTGCGGCCACATTCTGGCAAGATTCCGCCGCGCTCAGATGTGCATGTCGCGCTTTTTGATCTCCCTGTGCTGGAAGTCGATCTTTTGCTCCAGATTCCGAATCTGAAGCTGCAGAGCCTGCATGCAGGTCGCTCGAGGCTGCCATGCTGGTGGACCAACACTGCCGGAGTTGGACGCAAGAAGAAAACGCGCCGATTCCTCCCTTGCACCCTTGGGTTATCGGCTCCTATAACGGGGTCTTTTCATCGCAGCGCAAATCTATCGCGGCGCACTCGCCATCTGTGAGCCTAGAGCAGCGCGAACTCGCCGTCTGAGCCTAGCGCAGCGCGAACTCGCTCTGAGCCTAGCGCAGCGCCTCGGAAAACTCTCCGAAAATTCTTTTCTCGCCAAGGCGTCCGAAGGAGGCCGCCCAGCAGCGCCATGAGCTACGCCTACCTGTTCAAGTGCGCCGCACGCGTCGCACTCGCAGCGCCCGCTGTGTTTCCCCTTACCTCTCCGATCCGCTGTGCTTCCCCGTACCCCCTTTCCCGTCACATCCCCTCTCCCCCCCTCTCCTTCGTTACTCCGCGACTTGGCAGCCGGGCGTCCGTGCGACGCACACTTTCTGTGCAGGCTGACACGCCTGAACTGGTCCCGCAAGGTACATCATCATCGGCGATACGGGCGTGGGCAAGTCCTGCCTGCTCCTGCAGTTCACTGACAAACGCTTCCAGCAGGCACGTGCCCGCGCGCGCTCGCGCTCCCCTTTTGGGCCGGGCGGGCAGGGCGTCTGCGCTGTCATCGCTCACTGCTGCTGCACCCTGCCTGCCTGCGGCCGCAGGTGCACGACCTGACAATTGGGGTCGAGTTTGGTGCGCGCATGGTGACGCTCGACGGTAAACAAATCAAGCTGCAGATTTGGGACACTGCGGGACAGGAGTCCTTCCGCTCCATCACGCGCTCCTACTATCGCGGCGCGGCGGGCGCGCTGCTGGTGTACGACATCACGCGGCGCGAGACGTTCAACCACCTGACGTCGTGGCTGGACGACGCGCGCACACACTCCAACTCGAACATGACCATCATGCTCATCGGCAACAAGTCGGACATGGAGCACCGCCGCGCCGTCACCGCGGAGGAGGGCGAGGCCTTTGCGCAGGCGGGAGCCGACCCGTCCCGGGTCCGCACTCCGCGGCCCGCCCCCCTGACACCTCCATGTGGCCTCTGCGCAGGAGCACGGGCTCATCTTCCTCGAGACCTCCGCCAAGACGGCGGCAAACGTCGAGGATGCCTTCATCTCGACGGCCAAGCGGATCTACGAAAAGATCCAGCAGGGCGTGTTCGACGTGACCAACGAGTCTTTTGGCATCAAGGTCGGGATGGCGGCAGCCGGACCGAACCTCTACGCGCCGGCGCCAAAGCAAAGCAGTGGCTGCTGCTGAGAGCCTCCCCTCCTCCCGCCCGCCCCCCTCCCCCCTCCCTCCGCCTTAGCCTCGCCGTCCGCCCCTCCGCCGGAGCGGCCTACCGCCGCCCCGTCGCGCCGCTTGGCGCTCGCGCCGCCCGCCCGCTTTGCGCCCATCTACGTTCCTCGCCCGCCGTCGCCCACCGCGACGTTTTTGAGCTTGCGAGAGCCGCGCCCGGGAGGGGGGAGGGGAGAGCGCCGGGAGCACGCGCGCCGCCGCGAAAAGCGGAGGGCGTGGGTGCTGAGTACGTGGATGAGAGGGGCGGCGCGCGAGCGGGCCCGTGTTGTTGCTTATTTGTGATGAGCGTGACAGTTAGAACTCGTCGTTTTTCTTCTTCCAGGTCCACGCCCTTTTGCCCGACGCGCCCGGTTTTTTGCGATGGCAGCGTCGTCCACCGACGATTCAGCCCTCATGGCGGCCATCCAGTCGCGCGACGCCGCCGTCAAGCCGCTGCTCAGGTGTGTGTGCTGGCAACGCGTTCTCCTTCCAACCCGCGCGCACACGGCACTCACGTCCGACTTGCGTGTGCGCTGATTGCCCGGCAGGAGCGACCCGCAGTCCGCTTTGCGCTTATCGCTCACCGATCCGCCGTACGCGACCAAGACGGCCGCGGTCAAGGAGGCCTCGTTCGAGGCGCGCAGCTCCGCACTTGCCACGCGTTTTGCCCTTTTGCCCCGCCATCGGTCACATTTAGCTGTGCGTGCTGACAAGGTGGTGGGCAAGGCACTGGTGGCGATAAAAGAGGCGGACATCGAGGCGGCGGTGAGTGCACTCTCGCTTGACGAGTGCGACGTGCTGATGAAGTACCTCTACCGCGGCTTTGGGATGGAGGGGCGTGAGAAGCTATACCCTGCGCTGCTCAAGGCGCCGCGAGGGGCGTGCGCCGTCCCCGCCCACCCTACTGCGACGACACCACCTCCCCTCCCTTCCTGCCCCCCTCAGTGGCATCCGGTCGTCTTGCGGCGCGCTGGACAGGCATCCATCGTGCGCGCCATCTCCGAGGTCCAGCGCGGGCTGTAGAGCACGCCCAGGGGCAGCTACGTCTTAGTGTGCGCATGCTGGGGCTTCGTGTGTGTCTGCGAACGCTGTATCTGCGAGCGAAGCCAATCTTCTTTTTCGGAGGAGAGCCGTCTCCATCGTTCACTCAAATCTGCGAACACCCGGCAAGGGAGGGATGGGAGCACCGGAATTTGGATTTTTTTTTCACGCACACACAGTAAGGCGCCCGTCGGCCCGACGAGCTTCGGCAGCGCTGCCTGCTGCACGCGCGGGCGTTCACCCACAGTGGTGTGGCGTATGTTACCACCACCGCTGCCGACGACCCTCGACGCCTCCATCGCTGCTGGCCTCGTCAAGCAGCACGGCCGCCTGCAGCCTCTGGACGAGCGGCAGGCGGTCCTCTGCGACGCCTCGATCGAGCGCGTCCAGCCCAGCTGGCGGCCCGCTCTGGACGCTGCGCTGGCCGAGTGGCTCGCGCTTCCAAAGGAGGTGACCGGCCTCTCCTTGATTGCCGTCTACGCACGCGGCTCCATCGTTCGAGGCCTCGCTCTCGAAGGCATCTCGGACGTCGACACGCTCGGCTTTGCGACGGTCTCTCACTCGGACGCGGACTCGGAGCTGAAGGCGTGGCAATCCCGCGGCTCCGAACGTGCCCGCCGCATGCGCAGCGCCTACCCCTTTTGCTCGGGTCTCGAGATGCGCCTGGTCTGCGTGCCGGAGCGCAGCAGCTTGGGCGGGTGGCTGCGCGGCGACGCCGCAGCGCCCGCCTCGCTCGCCGACACTCAGCTCCGGGCGCTGGACGCGTTTCGGCTCGCGTCGCAGGCCGTCTGCCTGCACGGCTCCGACCTCGTGCCGCGGCTACCACCGCCCGTCCCTCGGCCGCGCCTCGTCCTCGAGCAGAGTGCGGACCTCGCCCGTGCCTCGCGTGCAGTCGCCGCGCTCGCCGTGCAAGGCAGCAGCGACAAGGCGCTCGCCGTCGCGCGGTGGGCGGCGAAGCGGGCGCTGCGGGCGGGTATGGAGCTCGCGGCGGCCGACTACGGCGCCTTCTCCCGCGACCTGCTCCCGTGCCACCGCGCGATCAGCGCCGTTCTCGGCCAGCCCGCGGGCAACAGGTCGTTACTTGTGCTGCAGCTCGCCTGCATGCCGGAGGAGGAGGTGGCGCGGCACGGCGGCGGCGAGGCCGTTGCGGCGAGGCTGATCCACGCGGCGGGCCGGCTGGCACAGGCGTGCGATACGTATCACCTCGCACGCCACTTCAGCCAGCCTCTGCTCGCCTTTGAGCAGCTGCCGGAGACGCCGCCGCTGCCGCCCGCGCTGCTCAGCGCTGCCGCCTCCTTTGCCGTCGCCCCCGCGGCCACCTCTTCGGCCACGGCGCCGTCGGGGTTTGAGAGCGTGCAGGCTGCGCTCAGCGAGGAGCGCGGCTCGGGGGCCTCCCCTTCCCCCAGGAAACCTTCTCGGAATTTTCTCGGAACCTTCTCGGAACCTCTCTAGGAGCGTGGCCGGTGGGCCCGCCGAGCGGTCGTCGCGCGAGCACGAGCCGCCGCCTCCTCGCCGCACTTCTCGCTCCGCCGGCTCCGCCGGAGGGAGGCGGAGGCGGGGCGGGAGGAGGCGGAGGCGGGGCGGGAGGAGGCGGAGGCGGGGCGGCTCAAGAGCGACGACCTCGGCCGCCTCACCATCGACACGGCAAACTCGCCTCGCCACACCCGCGTCCTCGACCTCGCGTGGGACCGCGCCAGCGGCGGCAGCCCGCCCTTCTTCCGCGGCACGCCCAGCCGCGCCCGCGTCGAAGGCATTGCTCGCCGCGCGCTCGCTGCCGGGCGGAGGCCGGTGGTGCTGCGCGGCATGGCGTCCGAGATCGCCCCGGTCGGTCGCGCCCTGTGGAACCTGGACACGCTGCCGACGCTGCTGCCTCGCGGCCGGGTACGCGTCTCTCCCTCGCCCACCTTCACCTTCGTGCGCGAGCGGCACCCCCTCTGTCGCTCGGGCGCGTACCCGCTGCCCTCGCGCGTCTGCGAAGCGATGAGCGGCTCCGAGTTCGTCGCGCGCATCGGGTTGGCGGCGGGCGGGCTGCCGCCTCTCTTCTACCCGGCCGGCGAGCGGTACTACATGCAGGCCGACCTGCCCGCGGAGACCATCCAAGCCGGACGCGTGCCAGCGCTGTGGCGCTCGCTCCTCGACTCGCCGGCGCAGCCGCTGCGCTTGTGGGTCTCGACGCGCGGCGCGACGACGCCGCTGCATTTCGACTCGGCCGACTCGTTCCTCGCGCAGATGCGAGGCTCCAAGCGCGTCACCTTCTTCCCGCCGGCGGCGCTGCGCGGCCTCTACCCGTACCCGGCCGACCACCCGTTGCATCGCCGCGCGCGGCCGAGCCTGTACGCTGCGCCCGACGAGCGGGCTGAGGACTACCCGCGGTTCAGCGAGGCGGCGGCCGTCGCGCAGACCATCGAGCTGCACGAGGGCGACGTCGTGATTTTTCCTCGGAATTGGTGGCACAACGTCGAGACGACAAGCGCGCTCTCGGTGAGTGTGGGGTGTCGTTTTGTCTAGACGGGTGACGGCTACATGCACATTTAGTGGCACATATGCACATGCAGTTCGACCTTAGTACATAGTAGGGATCCATCTCGATTCTCGGCCGATCGAACATCGATCGCGCGTCCCAAAAGTCGCCAAAAGTGGCGGCGCGTCGCCAGTATCGCCCGCCGTTCCCGCGGTCACGCTCACGCAGCTCGCGCGAATCTCCCTCTCTTTGCTCTTACCCACGACCTGTAACTTTCATCACTATCGATAACTGGCTTGTGGCTAGCTTGACGGCCCTCGAGTGTCGAGACTGTCAGCGGGCCCGGGTACGTACTGCTTGATCACACGTCCATGCCCATGGACTGAAGCGTCGTGTTCTCTTCTGCGTGGAGGTGGGCTTCTTGGGCGCCATGAGAGCGGTGCACACCTTATTCGCGCGCACCGCCGGTGTGAACGTTCATCGACATCGTTCACGAGAGTACCCCAGGTACCGGTGTGGACATGTGGAGGGTACCTCGGTATAAGGTGCGCTAAGGTATAGCACTAACTCACACACCTAGGTAGAGGGTGTGGGCGCTGCGCGCCGGTACCTCTGTGTCGGTACAAGGTGTGCACCTGCACCTAATGTAGAAGTGCTGGCCGCCGCCTCCCTCTCCCTCCGCCGCCGCCGCCGCCGCCCTCCGCCGCCGCCCTCGCCGCCTCCTCCCTCCGCCTCGCCGTCGCCGCCAGAGGGGAGGGGAGCAAATGGGTGCAGACTGTGTGCTGGTCCTCGCCTCGCCGGTCTTGAGGAGGCGGAGGATGTCCTGGTGGAATGTGTGGTGGAAGCGCCCGTCGCCCTTGTTGCGCGCGTAGCCGAAGTAGACGTCGGTGGTGAGCGCGACCTTCTCCTCCTCGATCACCTCGCCCTTGCTGTACTCGACCACCCAGCGAGCGAAACCGTTCGCGTCCTCCTCGCTGACGACCTCCTTGAC